AATAGAGCCTGACCTGCCTGCAGTGCCTATCCGTAGCAATAGAATCTATCCCGCCCGAAGCGTTCCCCGTTCACCTGTATTCCCGAGCCTGACCCGTGACAAGTTATGCCTTTTAGATTAATAAATATATTAGTAGTATTCTAATATATAATTATAAATATACTTTAAGAGTACCTTAATATATTTATAGTTTACTACTTAGATAATATCCTTATCTTCTCTAATATAGAAGAAGAATATATAGAATATATCTATAAGGTTCTAAAAGCATTATAAGATACTAATATGCTTATTAAACCTATAAAAAGTTACTTTTATTAGAATTAAGTAATATACTTAGGATATAAGATCTTATATAATAAAATTAGAATAAATAGATATAAGATTACTATAATTACTAAATAGAAGGCACTTACTTTAGTTAAGGAAATATAATCCTTTCTAGGATTTACTAACTATTACTAATAATTTATTAAGGACTTTAGTAAAATTACTATACTACTTACTGAGATTACTAAGAAAGATAAAATCTTTAAATGGAATAATAAAGCCTAAGAAGCTTTTAAACAGCTTAAGATAGCTATTATAAGCAAACCTATTCTAATTATATTTAACCTAGAATAATAAGTTAAACTTAAGACTAATACTTCTAACTTTGCCTTAGGAGGATAAATAAGATAACATAATAATAATAGTATATTACACCTTATTGCTTTTTATTCTTATAAGATATATAGAGTAGAACTCTAATACCTTATCTATAATAAGGAATTCCTAGTAATTTTTAAACTATTTTAAGGAATTTAAATACTACCTTAGAGGAAGTAAATACCTAGTAAAAGTGTTTACTGACTATAAAAATATAACTTACTTTATAATAATATAGGAGTTAAACTAATAATAACTATGCTATGCCGAATACCTATGCGAATTCGACTTTATAATAGTATACTATAAGGGCATAGATAATAGATATGTAGATGCTATTAGCTGATAATATGACTTTAATATAGGAATTATTAAAGTCAGATAATAACTCCTAGAAAAGAACCTAAATAGAGATTACTAGTTTATATAACCTGTTAAGATAATAGTAAGAACGATAGCTATAATAGACGAAGATAATGCTAAGTTACTGGATGAACTTATAGATGAATGGCGTATTAAATTTAATATGATAATGACTCTATATGAATGGAGGAAGGGAGCAGAGAAGTGGGGAGGTATTAGATATCGACAAGTACCTATCGTCTATGATTAACTGTATATTCCTAATAAGATACTCGATAAGTATATTAAATATTTGCATTAAACTGTTAAATACCGCGATAAGCTAGATAACGGATAATTTTGGTCCTATATCTATAATAACTACTTAAGGGGATAATGGGAAAAGGTAAATAACTGGTTTTACTGCGATATCTGTCACCTAAGAAAACAAATCTATAATATTAATATAATATAAGAATAAAAATATGACTTCCTTTGCGAATTTCATTCACACCTACTACATAGATACCAAGGAGTAACAAAGATACTCAAAAGACTATAAGAATAAGGTTATAAGGTTAAAAGAAAAGAAGTTAAGAAAGTTATTAAATAATGCGACTTATATGCTAAAATGAAAGCATAATGATATAAACCTTATAGATAATTATAACCTTTACTAGTAGTATAATAACCTTAGGACTTAATTATAATAGACTTTATTATAAAGTTACCTTTATTAGAAGAACCCTTAACTGGAATCTTTTATAATAGCATTATAGTTATAGTTAACTGATTTATGAAATTTTTGTATTATATATTGTACTAGGAATCTATAGATGTAGAATAACTTTCCTATATTTTTTATAGATATATCATTAGCATATATAGACTGCCTAAAGAAATCCTTTTAGATAGAGGAGGCATATTCGTAGTAATATTTTAGTAATTACTTATAGATAGACTTAGATTAAACTATTAACTTATGATAGCATTTAGACTGCAAGTTAATAAATAGACTAAATGAATAAATTAAGTACTTAAATAGTACCTATGGTGTTATATTAACTATAAGTAGAATAATTAGGTTAAGAAATTACTAATAGCCTAACTTGCCTATAATACCATATATAACGAAAGCACGAAGCTTACACCAGCTTATGCCAACTTCGGATTTACACCAAACGCATACTACGACATATAATAAGAAAAATCCATTAATCTAGCCGCTATTATTAAAAGTAATAATATAAAAAATCTATATAAAGAAATAAAAATAGAACTTAAATTTATTAGAAAATAAATAAAAAACTATTATAATCTAAAATGGTTAAAAGGATTAACCTTTTTAGAGGGAAATATAGTTTACCTAGCCATAAAAAACATTAAAATAGACTAACTAATATATAAATTAGATTATAAATTTATTAGACCTTATAAGGTATTATAAAAAATCTTAGAAAATAACTATAAATTAGATCTACTACTGAAAGTTAGACTTTATCTGATCTTTTATATTTTATTACTTAAATTAGTAGTAGATATAATATAAGTTAAAATAAGCAATAAACTATAAGAAATCTTAGGACTAGAAGTTTATAAAGCAGAAGCTATTAGAGATATATATAAAATCAATGGTTAGAGAGAATACTTAATAAAATGGAAGAATTACCTAGAGAATAAAAATATATAGGAACTACTAAAATACCTTATTAATACCTAGCGACGCCTAAAGAACTTCTATTAATATTAAATAAAGGGGAAGTATTAAGGAAGTTATCTCTTAAACCTAGAGAGGACTAATTAATATTATTAGGAATGTAATCTACCTGGAGATTATGAAGTAATGCATCCTTGTGTATATCTAGACCGGATAAAATTGCATCCTGTTGATCTACCTCTTGGAGATTATAATAAGTAGCCTTAGAGTGTTTTTCTTTTATATAACTCTGGATTTTTTAAATCTGCAATAAATAACCAGCAGCCAGAGCTAAATAAGACTATAACACTGCTATTTCTTTATAAAGCTTAAGAAAATCCTTACTTGCTTTATTTTTATTATTCTTTAATTTTTTTTCTTATTTTATTAGGTTTATAACTATTATAGTTAGTAGGAAAGTTAGGGAAAAAGAAAAAGGAAGCTTATAGGAAGATGTGATATGAGTATTATTATAAGATTTTTTAGCCTAAATATACTCACTATAGCGAGTAGAATTAGCAGATATTAGGTATTTCTTGCCTACTTGAAAATAATAAGTATAAGGCATGTTGGCTTCCTTGTTAGAAAATTTAATAGATAATGCAAGCGTTTGGATTTTATGGTCCTTATGGGATAACTGTTTGGATATATGGTTAGATATTATGAAATATAATAATAAAAAGTCTAAGTTGGGATCTATTAAGCGAGGACTGGTGTTAGTTAGGATAACAGGCCTTGAGGATAAGACCATTGGAGAGGAGAGATTATATTATAACCTTAGCGGTTATGTTATGTATATCCTATAAAAACTCTACCTTAGGACCACCCTAATAGCTAACTAGACCAGGGACTAATAGAACTAGGACTAATAGCGCTCTAGGACTATATTACTCTAGGACTAATAATAACTTTATATTATATTATTCTCCTATAAGATACTATAGTATATATAAATATATTTATTTAGTATTAAATAGAACTTAGCTTACTAGCTATTAATAAAACTTCTTTATATTAATTAAGCCTAATATGCATTAAATCTACTATTAAGAGATGTGATACTTCGATAACCGCTTAGCATCACGCCCTATGTAATCTGCTAACAATAAACCCAAGCATGGCTTAGTTTAACATAGTTGGACCTAACCGTCACATAAATTCCCTTATTTGCATGGGTATCCGTGCAGCCTTATTTGCACGGGTACCCGTGCGGGTATGGATGGCCGCCGAAGAGCTAGTGCTGACTCAACAACGATATCAATGTGGTAAGAAGGAGATATGCAGCTAAATGAGCTGAAACCTACTATCTGAGTGTGGCTGCATTCCCCATGACAGACTTGATTCAGATTCGAATAGAGTCTTTTGCTGAAGTTTAACTCTCCAGTGCTGGACTTTATTGGGCTGGACTCTGTTATACGAGCCACAAATAATTCCCGTCCCTGCTGATGAGAAATCACTCCTTTGATGTCTTGGATTATTGTATGGTCGCAGGACTGTGCGGTGCATCGGGTGTCTAGTGTGAATTCATACTGGCCGTCCTGCAATGAAAGGGTCTTGACACAAAATCTAGATTTTCCAGAGTCTAATTTTGAACCTGTTGAGCGACCGAGTTTCACTATTGGCTTGGCTTTGATAAGGATGTCCAAGCTCAGAAGGAAACCTATGGCTGAAGAGGGTGTTGACTGATTGTGGAGACTACTATCCATGTTGACAGTGGAATCTCTATCTATCTCATCGGAGGATGAAGAATCGACAGACTCTGCATACTCCGTTGGTGCTTCCAGAAGTGGGTTGGAGCCATTAGATCGATTGTCTTGTCCTCCTTCAATCCAAGGATACAGATCCAAGGCTTGATAAGTCCCATAAGGGTCATATGCGTCAATGTGCGTAGGCTGTGCTGTGCTGTAGGTGTTCTTATCTAATCCTTCGTCGGCTTCAAATGCCGCATTGTTTCTGTTATCTCGTGGCTGCATACCAGCCTTTGTTTCTTTGCAATCGCTTTGTTCGTGTCTCGGGCGGCGGCGGCGTCTTCTTTTGATAATTGGTTTTGCTCGTCGTTCATCGAAGAAAAACAGCTTAATCGGCCTCTCTGGTCTCTCACGAGTGCTTTCTGATTTTATTTCCTTGTGATGTTCGTTTATCTTTTCTGATAATTGGTCGATTGAGTTCTGAACTCTTCTATGTCTTCGCGGGTTAATAATTATATCATATTTTAGGCTTCTTCCGCCGACTTACCCAGAATGTACGCTGCATAGCCCGATTAGTGAGACTAGCAAGTGCATAGACGCCTTTGCATGTGTTATTGTTTCAAAATGAGCGCGAATGACTCGCTCCTTGACAACAAAGCCAAACCGGCGGTACATCGTGAATATCCACTGACCAACTTCCCACTTCCTTCTCTTTTTTTCAGGCCTTTTTTCAAGTTGTTCAAACCTTTTTAAAAGCCCCTTTGCATCTTGATAAACCCTGCCCAAATCTTTGTTACATGATCTAAGTTGGTCGTGAAGCTTTCTTTGAATATAGGATGCCAAATCCTCTTTATCTCTCGGTGGAAAATGAGCTGTCATCTCGTTGATCATATCACGGGTCTAATGCTTGTATTAGGATCGAAAGCAGCGGTTATGGAAGTGATATCCTACATTAACTATATTATGTAACGCAGCTGAGTATTCGTACCACACTTGCGGAGCATTCTTGATGGCTGCCCCAAACATTGCGAGCTTGACAGCAACGTCACCGAGGGCGATGGTTGTCCCAATGATCTCCATGAGGGTTTGGTTCTTGTGAAGGAATTTATATTTGATATTAAAAGTTTTTCTTTCGAATGAAAAGACTGAATCTCAATATTCATTAATCTAAATGCTGATTGAGATGCTCTAATGTATGTCTTACTGCACGAAATGTGAGCATGAGAAACAATTGATGGCACTTGATGTATCGGCCCTGACCTATTTTATGCTCTTCATAGTAAATGCACAAAGGCCTGTTCTTACAAGGTTTGCCTTGGATGTCGCCTCGAGTACGCCTCACTTTCTAGAGTCTATAAGCAAGCCAAGGGCTTCAAGCTATCCTGAGTACGTCTTCCAATAAATTGAAGTGTTGCCTGAAACGTGTAGTGAAGATCCTGCAAAGCAGTACATGGTGTCTTGATTTACCCCGCCTATGCATGCAACTGAACTAAATAAGTAATGCTTTCCCAGACTGCACCATGCTGGCTAGGCAGGCTGTTACAGTTGAGGCCAGCCACTTCCTTAAGTGCCTGCCATGCGACAATCTTTCTAAGTCCAAGTCAAAAAGAAGAAGCCATTTGGCCCTAATCCATATTTAGCTGACATACGACGCGGCGAAATCTGCCGTAAGAAAAGGAGCGCCGAAACAGACACAGGACTAGCGCATCCCAGACCAGCTTATGACCAGTTCTTCAGAGACATACGAGGCCGTAGGAGCATAGCCCCGGACTTGCCGGTTTATTAGGCAGTTATCACCAAGGAATTTGCAACTAAACTGCATTATAATAGAGTTGGTTTTGCATTATTCAAGGAGCAAGTTATTAGTCAAATGACCTGGAAGAAACATGCACAACCGTTCAATAACCCATTGTAGTGCAGAGCCTCATTTATATGTTTGCGAACCATAAGTCAGCAAGCAACAAAGGCACCTGCATCGCGGAGGTGGTCAGCACATGTGGGGTAACATTGATTGCCAGACTAAGTCGCACAACCCTGAAATATATCAGGCCAACAAGCGGGCTGTTCTTAAGGCAGCACTGTAGATGCTGAATCTGCCCCGATATGGCGGCTCCCCAGGTTGGATTCCTTATGTAAGGGGCTCGAACCAGGGTCCAAAATAAAGGAGCAACCAGAACTATAAGCAATAGATTTGAGTCAAGTCAAAGGTAGCAAAAAAGTAAACTCTGATGAGACTGGGACTCGAACCCAGGAGGATTGCTCCACCAGGAATTGGTGTTAAGGTTAACCTTAACCTGGCGCCATAACCAACTCGGCCATCTCACCGATGTCATTGGATTGATAATCCAAAGAGTTTCTCTGGACTATACACAAAACAACCAACGAAAGGCCTTGCCAAACTGATGCTTCTTGGGATCTTCTCGTTGTGCATCGCCTCTCAACGGTATATACCAAATGTCGATTTGAAGAATAATTCAGTTGCATTGATCGAGGTATCAGGTACTTATCTGACTCCCATCAACTGTCTATTGCACTTTTGCTAAAAATGTGAGAGCACCCAATGCATATCCATCTAGCCCAGTCTTGAGCGTTGGTTGAATAACCGGAGCGAACTTGGAAGAATGATTCGCAGCAATACTCTGCGCAACAGTCCCATCCTTCTCAGCCTTATCCCATACCTCACCATCAACACAACCATACATGAAAAAGCAGTATGGCTTATCAACAGCAGTAGCCAAGATGGAAAAGTCCTCGCTAAAAGCCAGTTTCGGCATATCCCTATCATATTTCCTAGGTCCTTCGCCAAAGTGCGCCGCGAATGACTCTTCAACTCTCTTGGTAATAGCTTCATCGTTGATCGTCAGAGGAAAAGCTCGGGTTTGCTCAAACTCTGGACTTTTGAGGACATTGGCGCATGAGCATTCTGCTTCGATGACTGTTTTTATGCGCTTCAGAAGACGCTCGCGGGTTGCGACGGTAGTAGATCGAGTATCGACGCCGAGAACGGCGGAGTCGGCGATGACGTTCTCGGCGTCACCAGCGTGAATACTCGTGACAGTTACCACGCTCGACTCAGCTGGGTCAACTTCGCGGCTGACTAGTGTCTGTAGTTTCAGGATAGCATTTGCTGAAATTGCGATGGGATCAATGGCAGTATGAGGCATACTCGCATGCGAACCTTTGCCGTGGATGGTGACCTTGTAGTTGTCCGCACTTGTTGCAACGAGTCCTCTTCGTGTACCGATCGTACCAGCACGAAGCGGCCTGACATGCGCTCCCAAGACGAATTCTGGAACGGGAACTTCATGTTTCGTATAAAGACCATCATCAACCATGGCTTGCGCGCCAGTACCTCGCTCTTCAGCTGGCTGAAATGCCAGCACCAGAGTTCCAGCCCAATGATCCCGGGACGAGAAAAGTGTCGCTGCAGCGCCCAGCAACGTCACGATGTGCATGTCGTGACCGCAAGCATGCATAACAGGTTTCTCAACTCCGCTCGCAGCATGAATCATTCGCTTGGTGCTGGCGTACTCGAGTCCAGTGGTCTCTTCAACCGGCAAAGCGTCAATGTCTGCTCGAAGTAAGACAGTGGGGCCATCGCCGTTGCGGAGAACGGCAGCGAGACCATGGCCACCAATGTGAGGTTTGATGATCAAATCATCGGGACCAATTTCCTTAAGTCGCTGGGCGATAGTAGCAGCTGTTTCGATTTCTTGGTTGGAAAGCTCGGGGTTGCGATGGAGATGTTTGTACAGCTCCTCCAAAGGCTGTAGGTCAGGCCGATGCTGATCTACTAGCTCTGATAAACTTGATTTTGACATTTCGTAATGGAAATGGTTACAGGCGTGAGACTGAGAGGAATGAGGGAGTCATATAGTGTGGAGGAGTTGTGGATTCTTCATGCTGAATCCTCCGGACGTTTACCCGAGTCATGTCATCTTTGCTTACACCATCGTCGCTGGGCCGAGGCCGCTGTCTTAGGCCAATTTATAGGACTTCGCATAAATTCATCATAAAATTATGAGACTTAAGCGAAGCTCAGAATTGTTTCAGAATAGGCTGCTCAACTAATAATGAAGAATCGCTATGGGAACTATTTCGAGATAGCTAACGTGTCTACCCTGAAGAAATTAACCGGTACCCTTCCGAAGCTCTCGGGGACAGCTTCCGAGAATCAAGAAGCGGGCGTCTAGGTGAATTATAGGCGAATCGCCAGAGTCATAGTAGAAAACATTGGAAACACGCCGCAACCTTTGTTGCAATACTAGTAAAAGCGAACATATAAGACTTAGGGCAAGAATACAATTGAGTTAAATCAAGTCTGGAGTTGAAGCTAAGTATGTACCAAGAAGTTCTGCATCTAATCAAATTACAGGGTTCCCATTGGCAACGAATATCAGTCGCTGGCCGCCTCTCTCTCTATCCTCTATCTATTTCTGGGCCCGTTTGCTTATAGCGCCGCATACTCAAACACAGGCTCATCAGGCTGACAAGTAGTGTTGAGCTTGGGCATCTCCCCATCAACAAAATAGTTCTTGACAATTTCTTGCGTACAGTTCGATGGGTGAGCCATTAGTCCGTGCTATAAGTCTCAGTTAGTAAAGATTCCAGATTAACTCTGCTATGTGGGGGATACTTACACCAACGCCTTCATGAACCACGACTCGACTTCCTCGGAACTGAGCTGATACGCCCCAAGCGCTGCTCAAAGGCGTAACGGGATCATATCGTCCATTAACGATAAGAAGCGGGTTACTCGTCTTGACATTCCTCAGTTTGTTAATGTCAATCTGCTCCGTAGCAGAAAACTTCCATTGCGCACAGAATAGTCTTGCAACTGTTCCCAGTTCAGAGAAAGATCCCTCAGCGCGATGAGCTTGGAAAATCGAGAACAAATCATCCTGATCCTCAACTCGGAACGAAGAGTCGCTGCATGCAATGCCGTTGGTGACGAATTCAGCTGCAATGTTCCATTCGCTTTCCAGCGGGCTTTCATTCCTGGTATTGAACATGGCTGTGATGTTATTGTTGAAAAGGCCTTCAATGCGGCTGATGATGCTGGGATATGTAACGGGGCTGTAGAGTTCTCCGAAGATGAAGGTTTTGAACGTGGCGATGAGAAGGTTTAGATCGTCACTAGGGAGATCCTCGTCATCGGCATCGCCGCCTGGCAGAGTTCCGTTGAGATAGCCCTCGAGCATCTCTCTAAACTCTGTGAGGAGACTCTCGCCTGTTGTGCTGTTTCCGTGGTAGTCTGCAAGAGAGCAAAGTTCCTTTCCAGACTCAACACACTCGTCCAAAAGATTGGAAAGTGATCGCTCGGCATCTCTCATGCTGTTGATCCAGGTTGTAGCCGCATAATCATCGGCTTTCAAATTGGCGTCGATCAACATGCGGCCAATACGCTCAGGGAACATAGAAGCAGTAACCTGACCTAGGATAGTGCCATAAGAGACTCCCCAGTAGTTCAGCATGGGTCCTTGACCCAACGCATCAACAATAGAGATCATATCCCTCGCGACAAAAGGCGTTCCAACAAAACGCCCTGTATCTTGTCTACTCTCATAGCAATTTTCCGCCAAGGTACCAGCAAGTTCCCAAGTCTCATTTCTGACAAAATCCCAGGTCTCAGCCTGCGGAATCGTGTTGAACTCTCTACGACGCAGACTTGCTGCACTTGTGAGATTAGTTCCAGTGCCAGCACCTGTTCCATTACAGATGAAAGGAATTGTACGACCGGTACCTCTGAATTTACAATTAGTGTTACATAACACCAAGAATAGGAAGAGGCTGAGCTTACCGGGGGTCGAATCCAATGACATCATATTGTCCGCCAAGAACTCTGCGATGCATGTCAGCATTGAATTACAATTTTACCGAGGCAACTTACTTGGCAAGTTCCATTCCCGACCAGACGATAGCTTCAACGCCCGAACCGCCGGGGCCGCCGGGATTGTAAAGAACACTGCCTAGATAGGGCTTCTTGGTGGCTTTGGCTTTGATCAAGTCAAGTTGAATGGTCTCGCCGTTGCTAGCGGAGGTATAGTCCAAAGGAACAGAGAGTCTGGCGCAGTCATAATTTCTTTGTCGTCTGTTTGTTGAATTATCTCCAAAGTCCAAGTCACATTCTGACCAGTCGATTTTGGAGCTGTTTGAGTTCTTTAGGTCATCTCTGGGTTTCAAAGTAGCGAAAACATCTTTTGGTAAAGATGAGGCCTGTGCTGCCTGGAGAAGAAGAGGGCTCAAAAAAACAGTTTGAAACTTCATGATGAAGAAGTTGATGCGGTATGGAACATTCTAAAAATTCGGGATATTCTTCATTCTATTTAAGCTTAAAACTATAGGACTTTCAGTCTGCTTTGTCCTTCATCGTCACGGCACTGCCTTGTTTGTTAACAAGGCTATGTTTCTCGGCAAAAGCCAAGGGTTAGTCGTACGTAGAGACGGAACAGCCCAGACTCGGATGACCCAACCAAATCCCCATTTCTAAGACGCGTTAATCCGTGGCTCAACGGCTGAGCCTTGCTAGCGGTATATTTCGCCTGTAATGGAAAGTGGACTGAGGCGTTGGCTAAGAGAATGAGATCTGCCTTGGGGGCCAACGCCTTGGCGCCCAGCTTTATTTCTCAGCTTGCGGAGGTCGACGTTGGCTCTAGGCTACACGATGCGTCATGACGAGGCTCGCCAAGTAGAGGATCCAGAATTGGGATTGAAGGATTCATTCGCATGATTTAGCCCGATGAATGTGAATGCGGTGAAGCAAAGAAAGATGCCGTCAAGGAGTATTGGCATATGACGCATCTCACGAGTCTTGTTCATGGTGTATTTTATTATTAAATTTTATAGTGCTGACTCTGACAGCGGAAAACTTTTGATTTGAGTATTCGGACCGCTTTGATCTTGAAAGGCGCATGCCTCAGGATTTGCTCTCAGGGATATGCCAGATGGTTTACGTGACCAAAGTTTCTGAATATCCGTCAGATTTCGCACTTTATAATCTTGAAACCATGTCATCGGGGCAATGGATAAGAATTTGCCTAGTTAGAGAGAGGGTAGGTAAAGAAGTCAGCATTCATAAAATTCTTATGATGAAGATATGATGAGAAATCTGTCGAGGCTGGATCGCCCTTTTGCTCACATACGTCAAGGCTATGAAGCCTCTCGGGTTGATTATAAAGTATTTGTCATAGAACTACTCTATAAGCTTGATTCTTCCATATATTTTGGTTGACAGTCTCTTTCATCTCTTTCCTGCCATGTGAGAAAATCTAGTGCCGCGACCCTGCCGCTCCAATACTATAAGATCGATAGGTTCGGCTTCAAACTGACAGAACGATGGGCAATTTTCTGTTTAGTATAACTAAGCTATAGGCATTCTATACCCAAAACCTTATCTTCAAACTTTTAGCTCTTATTATTTCCACCTTATCTTGGTCCAAGCATAGTTTATACTGCCTGGAGCTTAAATAAAATAGGGTTTATTCTTCAGTTTTGTGACTGTAATGCTGAGAGAATTTAACTTTCTAAACTTAGTATCATAGACTTATAAATAGCTGTCTTTACCCAGTCCAGCAGTTTCTCAGTTCTTAGCGCCTCGACCCCCAAGATCAACATCGCCATCTCACTATCAAACCCCGGGACAGACAGAAGTACCATGATGTGGGTTAATCCATCCTTGGAACGAAGAGTTCCTTTGACAAGGGATGAGATCCTCGTTGAGACTCGCGGTCGGATGGAAGCAAGTCATCGCGCATGGATTCACCAGCACTCAGTGCGACGGGTATTCCAACCATGTCCTTTGCCTCGCAACATCTGTCCCTACCGTATTCACGACGTTGTAGAGGATCTAAGTGTCGACCAGGCCGAGGATTGCTGCAACAAGTGTGTGCCGATATATATTATTCCGGATCAGTCGCGGTTGAATCATTTTCTTTGCTACGCCCTACACCACTGGCTCTATCACAAATGGTACCGGTTATACCAAAGCGACATCGAATATGGGCAGTTTGTAGCCAAGATATTTATCCCTTGCCCCCCTCTCGATAACTCAACAACCTCACTGGTGTGCCTGATCAATGGTCTCAATGCAAGAATATGCAGTCAGGTGGTGTCCATCCAGCAGTATGTCCAGACATGTCCTGTTGGAGAGAGATTCAGTCCCGAACAAACATTTAGGGACCAGCGGTTCTATATCATGCAGCCACTTTTCAAAGCGATGGCCGTCATTGTTTTGAATGACGACTTCGATGTCCGAATGGTCGATATTGGCAAGATGCCAGCTCTTCTCACCCTCACAGGCGAGACATACGGACTAAGTCAGCCACCATCTTTCGATTCTATCAAGAATAAAGTAGACAAGATTGTTTCAAAAACAACAGTCCAAGTGCGTTTGCACGTGGCGATCGACTTCGCACTCGCTCAGCAAGAGCGAGAAGTCGCTTTCTTTGGCCCGCAGCCCGATCCTGTCGAGTCAACAAGAGAGCTAGAGAGCGGCACGTGCTGTAACATGCAAGAAGTACGAGCATTCGTGAATCAATTGGGCTGGACTGGCGAACCTCTTCAGGGCCCGAGCTCGGCGTGGCTTGATCCTACGGTTCATTCAGAATGGCTTGGGCATGGTGCCAGAGATGATAAGCTTATTTATGAAAGCCTAGAGAAGCAACAAAGATGGGATATTCTTCGTCGGACTGTTGGACTAAAGGAGACCCCGCGCCGACTTCTCAAACGTCGAAATAGCATATCTTGATCAGTTTCTATTATGCTTCGAGTAGATCATGTACATCAAATCCGAAGAATAGAGCGCGAACTGTCTTTGGCTCAATAACTATCACCGCCCTAGAAAGCTCAGTACTCTCCCCCAACGCCATAATGCAAGTGGTAGCCAGAAAAGATTATTATTGTTCTATTCCATAGTAAGTCAGTAACTAAGACCTATTGCTGCTAATTCCGTTATATATCGAATGCCCTCTTAAGAAAGGTTACCGAGCTTCGTTGGTCAAATCTCCATGAGTTGCAAATGTGCCAAGATTTTTGTAATTATGTTGAATGTTCGCCTAGAAACTGAGTCGCCGTGGCACATAGCCAATATATACAGTCAAGCGGCGAATCAGGAGTCTGGTGGACGGGATTTTGAAAGTCGGATACCTATCCTCACATAAAAGCAAACTGAGTCATTCTGAGCCAGAGAGACATAGGTTGTGCAGAGCGACAATTTGAACCTGTGAGGCAATTCTCCTGCGTGAGCCAATATCGCCTGTGCCGAACTTTTGCCATCAAATGTGAATAGAAACCGACGTTTTGATTCTGAAGAAACGGCCAGTATGGTTGAAGCCGTGATTGACAATGAGCAACGTGATCGGCCTGTGTTATGCTGAATTTGGACAGCAGGAATTCTTTCTGGGTCATCCCAAGCATGACTTACTGCCCTAAAGGTGTTAGACAAGAGTACAAGAAACAGCCGGAAGCCAGGAGACGCCACTGCCTTCCGCATCACATCAGGGCTTACCTAGGTGCTTGACCATTGCACCAAAGGGCGTTCTTTAGTAATGGAGGCCGAGGCAGATTCGTATCGCTTTAAGCGAGTTGAAAAGGAACGGGTTTTAAATAAAAGGAAATCTCTTAATACATGAATCCCAATGGAGCCACCTTCGTTGGTGATGACCCGAATGCATTCACCACTATTTAGGTGCCAGATGCGTATTGACCTGCCACCAGAAGAGTTGAAAGCCAGGGTTTAGTTGTATAACGAAAAGCGGCGATACCTGATCGGTATTTGATGACCTTCTGATGAGCTTGGTGTGACATCTTGTTAGATCCGGGGGCATGCTGCACCCATGGGGGCGGCCTTCTTGGGAGCATCTGATCTGGCTAACTACTCGATGGCATGAAGCACTTCAAAGGGCAATGAAGCTGAAGAAGGTGGCGATCAATAATCGGAGCGTTCGTTTGAAGAAAGCTGTGAATCTCGCGCAAATGCTGGCCGTACATCGTTCTGTATTGAGTGTAGATCTATTGTTCGGAACTGTCGGAGCCTTGCGCACCTTGATGGTCGTTTGTTATATCATGATTGTTTGGAAGCTTTCATTGAATCTTCCTTTACGGCTCAAGGCCTCCAGCCAGTGGAATAGATGCTTCTGCAGGAATGCACACCGGGTATGAATTTAGTCAAGCTTTCTCGATTTACTTCCCCTTTCTTTAGAAAGAAGCTGGCCCCGAGATTACGGTACTCAGCTTTCGCCTTGGCAACAGTGCGTACAACAGTTGACTTTCCTGTTCCCGCCATCCCATTGAGCCATAGTATTGGTTTCGATATATCGTCTTCAACCCAGTTGGATAGATCTTTGAGGAGGTCGATTCCGGTATTGGCCAAGCACATTGAGTTATGTTCCTCGGCCTGGGAATCGAAACGGGCAACTTCTGCTCCAGGTAACCGGTCAAGGGTTATATTTGTGTCGATATTCTGACCGAGACACTAGATAAAATAGTGAGCATTAATAATTAAAACATACATCTTTTTCCAATTGACCCTAAGGTATCTATCTTCTCCTCAACTGCGCATTTGCGTAAGCGATATATAGTTCCATGATTGGACGACTGCTAAATTGACCTGACACCCTCGATGACTTCTCGTGTGTCTTGGACTTGCTTAGCCGGGACATGGTCGACAAGCTCAACAGCAAAGGCAGCAGCCGTAGCAGCCGCATATCGTTACCACGGCAGTTCTTATGTGAGCCTGCATAGTTGCAGATACCACGGATCGCCAGACATAGGAACTTATCCATCAGCCTCGTAGCTTCCATTTCAGCAAAGAGGAATTGCTGTTGTTCCGATAGATTGTCATGGGTGGTAGCATCCTTGATAAGTGAGTCCCCAGAGGTAATAACACCATAGTGAATCTTGGGATCAGTCGACTCTCGCTCTTCGCGCTCTACCTCCCATTCAGAATCACACTTAGAAGAAGTGAGACCACCAACATTACTGTATTCTGACTTGCACAGCCGGCCGTTCTCGGCCCCCGGGTGAGTATAGTTCCTCCTTCCCCTTGTCTTGAAATAATTGTTCGCGTTCCAAATTATTTGTAGTATATCAGCTGTCTTGGATGACATCATTTTATGCAGTGCTTATAAACTCATTAGCACATGAGGAGTGCTGGAGGAACTTGTTAAGAGAGCCCTTCTGCCCCTAGACGCCGTCTGCCTTCGCGTTTCCAGAGTTGTATTGGACCAGCTCCCCAGTCGTTCCATCAGGTTAGCTGACGACAACATCACCGAGTCGAATATTTTGAGCCTCATCAGGCTGCGAGATGCCCCCTCCTATCCCAACTAACAAGCGAACTCGAATATGTAATAGTGAGCAGATCAAGGCCGATGCAGTAGTTACTGCAGGTATGGTACCGTAGACCATCCCAATTTCCTTGTATATTGAGGCGTCTGTATCCATGAAATGATTTCCTCAATGCAGCCATTCATCTCCCAATACAGCCAAAAACTTCATTCTAGGTGTGAGGAAGGTAAGAAGAGCACCTGCCCTCATCCATTTATTGTAGACCGATGACGTGCCATGTAAACAGCGACTTGTTTTACCCAGATATTGCACTCCAGCCTGAAGACCATCGAATTCGTTGAACGTCTGTTTCCTTTTTTTTTTTGTTTTGTCTACGATTCCCTGCGCCGTTTCTGCTCGTTTGGCCTGGCTTGTCTAGCTAATTGCAATTCCTCTCTCCGACCGTCTCGCTCTGCTCTGCTCTACTCTCGTTCCGTTTCGCTTCCCTGCTCGATTACCTTGCCGCGCCGTTTCCTTTTTCTCTTCACGAATTCCGAGTAGCTCCGCGTTAGATAGCCATTTCCTGCAATATAGCACGATGCCGGCGGAGATCAATGGCCGAGAATTGGACCCTGAGGAGATGATACCGATGGGCCGCCGGAGATATGCGAGGATTGCGGACGCGATCCATCAGCATCCACAAGTTAACCATGGTTCATACAGGACACCGCCTACGCTCTCCCCATTCTACCGCGCAGATTGTTCTTCCGCAGCAAGGCTGTCGGTAAACGATGATATCGAGACAACTCTCGCAAACCACTCGGAACCCCAGAATGGCTATATTCTGGTGAACGTAGATAGCACAACGCCGGATCCAAGGCAGCCCGCCCCATACTCGAACTATGTTCATGAGGAGGGCCGTGTCATCATGTGTATGTTTAACTATAGATATTTCGACCCTAGGCCGCGTTCAGAACAAATGAAATGGGCCGACACAATGGCTGCCAGCTGCGTAGAGGCTTTGAGCCTATCTGGTCGTGCTGCTAACTTGGCGGCTTTAACATCCATTTGGAGGATCAGCATCGACAATAAACAGACGCAGACGATAATCGGTATGCTGCGGGCTATACACAAGTCAACCGGTGGCCCCTTTGAGGTCACCCCGGCTGCTGACGATTTGTTCTTTGCCTTGTTGGAATCAGATCATGGAAGAGGAGTAGCTAGTTTACTGATAGAATATCCTTGGATGTTTGGCTTCAAAACCATCACATCTGCCACCATCTTTCCGGTTCCCACCGGGTCACCAAGTCTTTACTGGAGACTGGAACCTCTGGCTGAGAGGCCACCCGAGCTGCCACCACGAGATGATCTTGGGAGCTCCCCTATATCCAAAAATCAGGCTAGGAAGCATAGAAAGACTATGTCTAAATCATCGATTAATTCCAGCACTTAACGCAGGAAAACCTCGTGTTACTTGGCATGTCCCATGCCATCCATCGTCAATCGAGTCCCGACTGCAACTCAACCTTCCACAACTTCTTATCTAAATACTCCATCTGCTCAGTTCGGTACGTATCATCCTCAACATGAACCACAGACGACTTATCAATATGAAAGACCATATTCTTTCCAGCATCCCACTCATACTCCGGCCACTGAACATCCCCCATACCTTCAAAGTTGGGATCCATCTTGCTCGCAAAGCTAATCCACATTCTCGACATCTTAACAGCCAACTCATCAAATGACCCAGGTCTAGGTTCCGTCGCGTTCAATTGAGCCAACCTTTCAGTGTTGCGGAAGACGAATGGGAGATCAACTGAGTGTCCGGCTCCTTGGACTGCGGGCCGATCTCCCGATACAACGTCGAAGTGATAACTGTACGCTGTGGCGTTACTCTTTGCCCATTTCCTGTTCCATGCTCTCTTCGGTGCATGCATAGCTCTATCACCACCGAAGGCTACCGCACGCTTCCACTGCGATCCATACAAAGCCAATGGGCCTGTTGGGCGTCCTTCAAAGGTAGCAGGAAGGCCGACACGTGGAATATCAGGGTACAGAGCTGAAATGGCTTCGATGGTAGCATTGCTTGCGCCCTCTTTTCGCAGATATGCTTCCCACTCCCGTGTCGTGTTGATACCACGCTGAGCGAAGAAGTCTCCATCATCTGATGCGACTCCATTGATGATTGGCACAGGAACGAATTTGTTCTGTCGAACCAGCTCTGATCGGCTATCACGAATGAAGTCGCCGTCAATAATATCGAGCCAAACGGGAAACGAGACATTGCCGACGATTTGAGCGAGTTCCAGTGATGGTACCTTTCGCAGACACTGCAGGGAATCCTCCGCGGAAGCACAGTTTGTCTTCTTGAGGAGCGTTTTGTATCCCTTCTCAAAGCTCGGTGCGTCTTTGACCTCTACCTCTCCAAAGGCCGTGGGAAACCCAGTACCACTCTCGAGGATAGCGGCTCTAAACAGGCCATCATCTCGACCGCCGAAGGCAGTCAATTGGGACGCAATACTTCGTGCTCCTCCGCTCTGGCCCCATATAGTGACCTTTTCGGGGTCGCCTCCAAAGGCAGCAATGTTCTCTTGGATCCACTGCAGAGCAAGTCTTTGATCTCGGAAGCCATTGTTTCCAACGCCTGCGGACATGACAGCTGAGCTCCAAAGGAACCCCCACGCTCCGAGTCGGTAGTTGATTGAGACGCCGATGATGGGTGAGCCTAGCTTGACAGACTCATTGATGATGTAGCTGAGGTTCGAAGAGGGATCACCACTGAAGCCTCCGACAAGGCCTCCTCCATGGATCCAGACAAGGACAGGAAGTTTTTCCTCGGCAGCTGCAGACGGGCGAACGACATTCAGGTGTAAACAATCATCTGAGCCACCTGAAAGAGGTCCGGAAGGATACCCATATTGGTAACATCTCGACTGGTACTCTGTTGCATTGCGCACTCCGTCCCATGTTGAGTTCAAGGGCTGAGGATGTCGAAAGCGCAGATCGTTCAGCGGCGCCTGTGCATACCGCATACCAAGGAACAAGTCCTGGTTATACGCAGAGTTATGAGTCCCATAGTAAGACCCATTCTTAAGTTCAACAACAGGACTGTTCCGTGGTACCGAAGCAGCGCCCACGGCAACCGCCAAGGCCAGAAAAAGAGAAGAGCCCAACATTGTCACTAACACTTCTACAGACTACCAATCCCTCTCACCGGTCCAAATAGGATATATATATACTCTCCACTTCGAAGCACTTACACCATACCTGCGGCCATCGGCGCCGAGTTTTAGAGCAGACGGTGCTCGGCGCCGCCGCCGAATATGGTGTCTCCCCACACTCTTGACTCTGGGGTTGCGGGGAAGATCCCTGAATAGCTTCAAATTTCTGCAGGCCTAGCATGCTTTGGGACGAACTACCCGGGCGTACTTCGGGGCTTGAGGGTAAATGACGGTTCTCGTGCCTTGGTTTGAGGGATTGGTGGGCTAGATGATGTATTTGACAGGTAGTGAGATGTTTTGAGGTGGTATTGAGACGGGGAAACATTCGCCGATGGAAATATTGTGGCATGGAAGATGGATACTTCGGGGAATGTCTAGATGAGCAGTGCTCAAAAGGCCGCTAGGGTACATATGAGGATTAACGATGAATTCGAACGAGGTATAATTGAGCCATATGTTAAGAAAGATACTGGTGAAGTATCCTATACAGAAACCAGCCTACCTATCTATAAACTCCAAAGCACACCGACTGCACCACGCTGGACAAATACAAACGACCGCCAAACCCATCCAGTCCATCCCTCATCTCCTCTCCCTCAGACCCTTCGTCCTCAACGTAAACTTCGCATCCCCCTCTCCAAAAGGCAACGCAACCCCATCATCCAAACTATCCCGCCTCTCATCTTTATTATGTCCATTACTCTTAATGATCGCATCCCGTAACACATCACCGTTCTGATTAGCCTCACTATCCGCGCTTCCCCTCCGGCTCTCCGTAACACTACTTGAATCGCCATCGAACTGCGCCGACATGGTAGACATGCGTCCTTTCATCCTTCCAGCCCACAATCCGCGAACACCGCCCTTTTTGCGCTCTGGTACTTGGTCGCTGCCGGCGCTGCAGACGTAGAGGAGATATTTGAGGTTGGGAAGCGTATGGCGGATGTCGACGACGCGGAGACCTTGGGATGAGCAGAGTGCTTCGATGTCTTTGTTGAGGAGAAACCATGCGTATTCGAAGCGCCATTGACCAGCTGTTGAACCTCCTCTGGGAAGATATAGTGGGAATTCTCGACGGGAGACTGTTCGGTCTGATAATTGGGAGATATCGTCGCGCGCATATGACCTCGAGCCGAACCAGTCGAGAGGATATGGCAATGGATGCGCTAGATAGAACTGTAGGTGTTTCGTGAGCAGGGCGACAATTCCCAGACCTGCAGATAAGAGGTCCTCAGAGATACTTCTCGCAGCAGCCGCATCGTATATCGAGTTCGGTAATGGTATGTTGCATATCTGGAACGAAAGCGGCGGCGCATTAGGAATCGGCGTGATCGGGAATATGTCCGAAAGGTCGGCGCAAATACGTCTTCGCTGCCCCCGAATCTGCTGTTGCGTCTGCTCAAGAAGCTCCTCCGAAGCAGTCAGCTTCTCTCTACTACTCGCCATGTCCTTCTCCGCTTCATTCTGAAGCTCTCTCCCCTTAACGATAGCTTCGTGCCGACTCCGTATAGACTCCTGCAAATCATCGCGCTTGTTTTGCGCTTGTTTATTCGCCCGTTTTTGCGCTGTAACATACTTATCCGCCATTGCGACAGCCTCCCGCGCCATTTGCGAATTATCAGGCGGGCTTTCGTCTAATATACGATTTATCTCTTCCATTAATCTCTGCTGTGTCTCTATCGCGTCTTCGATTGAACTTTCGAGGTTGGCTAGCTTCATGAGCGCATTGTATGACGATGTGGCTACTTGCGGCGCTTGCTTCGGTTCGGATATCTTGTTGGGGAAGTCGAATGAGTATACGCCGTCTTCGAGGTGGAATATTAATGCGTTGGGCGGGAAGTTTCGGTCCATGAGAGTGCCTATGAAGTTCAGGCGGCGCAGGTCGATTGTTTCTTCAAGAAGAAAGATCCATGAGTCGGCTTTTGGTCGTCGCGCCCAGATTCGTAGTATCATGGAGTGACATCTTGAAATAGCCGATGCGCAATTTTCGAGACTAAAGAATTTGAAGTTGAAGCTCTACAAACAGTCAGATCTCGCTATGTGTCGCAATGGACGCCTCTCTTACCGTAGCTCGCTCGCGCACCTCGCTGATGTAGACAGGCTCAGCATCCCCATCCACATGCAGCGAGTAAAACACATCCCCCACAGCCTCCTCATATAGCGTCTCTAAATTCTTCTGCCGCGCCACAAGATTGGCGTGCGCCAAGCTCAAACTCGTCCTACGCTTCTGCACCGGCCGGAGCGCATCCGGCCTAACACTATCCTTCCTCAAGCTCTCCGACGACCGCGACGGGTGCAATTGGCTCGATTCTTTGACCACTTGTAACTTGCTCGTAGCTAGATCGGCGTCGTCTGCTGTTCTAAGACTCGTAGGCGCGAAGGATAAATTGCGAAGCCAGATGCCGCGAAGGTGACGAAGCTTGCGGTTCTGCGGGAGAAGGCGGGGACGACGGGGTTCCGAGAGGGTCGACATTCTGGTAGTGGCATGCTGCGATTAGCAGCTTGAAATATTGACGGTTATGACATTTGTGGAAACTTTGAGGATAAATGTGAGGATGTGCGTGAAACGTCATCAGTTATGAGGTGGGAGCTTGGAGCTTAGCTGGAATTGAGAGTCGCGATAGTTGCATACCCGCTTTAGTGACATCACATCACAACTGACTTAACCTGGACTTCCATTGACGGTAACTGTTCTTTGGCTGGCGAGAGCTCTTCTCGCAGTAAATTTGTAATTCGCTTAATGGTCAGTTATACGTGGTAATTCGTCACTTCCACCATGATGGTAATTCGCATCTGGTTCCAGTCTAATGCACCCCAGATTCGCGAAGTAAGTGAGACATCGTGCCGAACAAGGGAGGCAAGGGAAGGCAAGAAAACTTGGAACCTCTGTCCTAAGTGACAAAAAGACTTGGGTAAAGACAGTATAATTTAGAATAGGATTAGTGGATCTTAGATTAGGTATTTCTGGTACCTTGGTTTAACAGCAGAAGTTTTTTTGCTCCCTGGGGGAGGTTATTGGGACTACACCTTAACCTTCAAATCCTCCACAGTCTGTCCCTGCGCCAGCAGATTGATGAGCGGCAAAAACAACTTCTCCCCGTTCTTTTCCGTAGCATGAATCTTCTTGAGATCATCCCATGACTTCCAGTACCAGCCCTCACACTTCTGTGGTTCAAGGATCTAGTCATGTCAGCTCATTACCCTGCACAACTTGCAAGACAAACCGACCTGGGGTTGGTCGCTCTCATTAACCAACTGGCAGGACACAAAAATTGTGATGTAGTGCTTCTTCTCTGTTTCAAATACATCGTTCGTAGTGGCAACGTGCTGAAGAGCCTTGACCTTGAGACCTGTTTCTTCAAGGGTTTCTCGCTCTGCGCACGCGAGAAAGCTCTCGCCGTACTCGAGATGACCTCCTGGTAACTGAAGAGTGCCTGTATGCTATTAGCTTCCACTCAACTTTATGTTGATGCAGAATACTTACCAGCTCCGTGACTCCCTATCCGCTTTCCAGTGAGGAACATGCCTTCGCGGTTGTAAATGAGGGCGGCGACGCCGACGCGGGGGTGAGGAGCTTCTGTAGACATTCTGGTACGAGTTTCGGATATAAAACAAAAGAGATGCTGGTTAATGAGTTCGCGATATTGTTTTCCGAAGAAAAGGCAAGGGTATGGCTTCAGTTTTGTGTTGATTAGAAGAACGCCCAGCCAGGCGCAGTTACCCAGCTAAGCTGATGAGTCATCGCGAAAGCGTATCTTCTGTGGTGAGATGTGTAACAATGGGGGGCAGTGATGATACAACTGGAAAATTAGAGGATCATCGGAAGGAATGTGATGAATTCTACTGCATAATCTCGCGCAAAAGAATGTCATTGTATTGCGCGCATCCTCGAAGTGTACCCATGCACCAGCGCCTCATACTATGAACCAACGACTCTTGGTGGACAACATTTGGTCTCGTAAAAGTGTATTGGATATACCTAGCAAACCCCCTTTTGAACGCCTAGATAATTCGTACGCTATGAAACAAAGATCTAATCATGGTGCTTGCTAACAAATTCCTCATCAATTCGTCATATCCACATTTACAAAATAGATTCCAACAATCCACCCCAATCTCAACATGCAATTGAATGCGGAAAATCGCGCGTTTAACATGATTGGGTCCCAAGAAGAGTCCCCAAGATACAGAAGGCGGCAAATGACAATGGTGCCAATGTCGTCCAGTCGCTTCCTAGTGGAAGCCTCCCATCTTTGTAGCGTAATCGCCCGCCAAAGTCGTCCGAATGCCTCGGTTGTACGAGGTTTCAAGTGCCTCTACTGAGCCAGCGAACAGAGGCAAACATAGGACACCTATGCCGCTCTCGCAGGTCCCGCGAAAAAGGTCTCGCCAAGCTCCTCAGACAGTCACGGGAAAGGCTGCGACGGCGCAAACAATCCATAAAGCGCATCCTGCGAGATGTCCTTCTCCTGGTCATTCAAGAAATCCAGCAAACCCGGTGAGTGACCAAACGCCGGGTCAAAGTGATCCATATGCGGGATATAATCTGATGCAGTAGCAGAAACGTAAGCACCCGTTGGCGTAGAAGTGTTGGTGTTATTAGGCGCAATAGCAGATGCAGCGGGTGCCATGGCGAGAGGGAAGAAGAAACTCTCATCGAGACCAGCAGGCTGGGGTTGTTCTGTACCAGTGGAACCACTCTCTTTGATACTGGTCTGGAACTCGCGCACCATGTCCTGGAGAACGCTGAGGGGCTTCTTGAGACCAAAGTTGCATCCTACTTGGAGTTCGCTGAGACATGTCCAGAAGAAGGAGATGGGCTCTGTGAATTGACCTCGCTCGTGGCGCTCTTGGCGAAGAATGACGATGACGGCGGAGTAGACTGCGTATGAGAGGAGGAAGGGTGCGCGACGGAGAGTGAACGATTCACGGTATCGACGGACGAGCTTCTGGATCATGAGAGCGCTCTGAATGCATGCTTCTTCACCGCGGCGCTTCGCGGTCTCGTCGGTGTGGCGGCGAAGGTGACCTTCCTCGAGGAATGCGCGGTGTAGCAGAATGGTGAGAGCATGGAATGTCGTACTAAGCATCCTGGTTAGTATTCTGACTTCGCATGTTCAGCTTAGATATACTCACTGTGGGGTGATTTGATGGGGTGGGGGTGTGATGGTGAGAGTATCGTCGGGGTCGAAGCATAGGTGGCTGGGAAGACTCGTCTGCCACTTCTCAAGCTCTCTCTCGATGGACTCCTTCTTGTTGAGAAGATACTCCGTTGTGTATTTGACACATTGGATGCCATAGAGGTCATTGATCCTTGTCGAGATTTGCAATATCCTCACCAGACTGCTAAACGTGGAAACAGCGTGGGCAGGCTGGCGACCGTATGGCGGGGGAGCTGAAGCTGGTGACTTGGGGTCGATATAAGGTTCCCATTCTTCTAGCTCCTCGAAAGTATCAAGAAGCTGGAGAGGAACTCTAGCTTGAGCAGACGCAAACATGCAGGGACGGCCAAGGTACAACGCTTGAGTGGCATCGGTAGTAAAAGCAGCCCAGTAAAGACGCTTTCGCATCTCCTGCTCCAGATCCGTCCGTAGCACACGTTGCTCGTTGACACCGCCTGTGCTCTCGTAATCAGGACCCAGCATAAGATGACATCCCAGATCAATGATCATGCGATGCGCTGTTCCTGACAGACTCCAACCTGCACTGGGTTTGCCTTGGGATACAAGCGAGACACTGGTAAGCAACAGTGCAAGAGCAGAAGGAATACTGGGCTTGTCGAGTTCGTCTATCAGGAGCTCTCGGAATCGGTCGTAGAAGCGTCTTCCAACACTTTGAGGATCATCGGGATCGGCGCGGAGGGATGGGCGGTCGCTGTAAAGGGAAGTCGAGTAGAAAATAGCATTGAGCAGGAGTTTATTCGCAAAAGGGCCACCACCACTGGCAAGACTGTCCATGATAGCAGGTCGGTATGAGATAAGGTATGCATAATGTTGTCGATTAAAGTGCAAGTCGAGAAGATGCTTAGCAAGTTCTGGGTCTACACCGTCCAAGTCCATCAAGTCTCGTGGGTTCCGGAACATGCGCGCCTCTCGCTGCCGTTGTAGCGCAGCGTTGCTTATAAGTCGAGCTTTCGAAGCTGATATAGCATCGTCGCCTTTTCGTGTCATCTTATTGATATTCTCTCGGTGCTGTGCGCGCGACGTGGGGTTCATGATACTAGCTAGACCGTGGACCGCAGAGACATAGCCGTTCTCGTGGAAGACACCAGCTACTCGAGCTTCGCTAGGTGATAGACCGGTGCCGTCACCATTACCGTCGTTGCTTATAGGGCGAGGGACCAATTTGACAGGCGCGAGTTCTGTAGAATCGAGTTGTGTCTGTGTCGTTCGTGAGAGAATCGTATTGAAGCTATCGAGTCGAGGTTTCGTCTCATCCATTGGCCCAACGCTACTCCTCGGCGGCGAAGAAAGAAAACTAGCGCCCATTTCCTGCGCAGCTGTAGAAGCAGTCGGTGTAGGAAGCGGACTCGCAATAGCAGCAGTCGAGGCAAGACGGCTCAGTCCATGCGTAGTATAATCCTGCGAAGCGCGGGACGGGTGATCCGTATCCATTAGCTCCGCCGTCCACGCAGACTGCATCTCGGACGTAAGGATGCCGGCGGCCTTCATGTGATCGAGCATAGCGGCGACTGTCGCCTCGAGGCTTTGCACGCGCGCGCGCGACGGTCGAGGTTCTCGGCGGGCATCGTGAGGGTATACGCAGGGAAGGCTGTTGGTACTGCACTCTACGCACTGCGGGCGCGTGCCGTCGCAGCGGACTTTCTTCTGGCGACATGGCGTGCAGGTCTTGCAGAGAGCGCCGCCGGACGAAGGGCGCGAAGAACTCTTGGAGTCCTTGCCCGCTTGACGTTTGACGATCTTGTTTGGGCCCGTCATTGTCATTGTTGGCGGATTTCAGGGAAAGTGGAATGATGGCGCAAAAAAAGGAATTATCATGAAAAAAGAGACTGAGCGAAATGTTAGGTTCGTTCTCGGCTCAGGTGAGCGGCATCGGTGGCCGGGTGTTCGGTGAGTCGAGGGTGTTTCCCGCGGGGAGCATCGGGCGATATTTCAAGGTCAACGGCCCACTGCGTGTTAGCGCCGGACCACTAGAAGCAGGGCCCTGAAGCCGCTAGCCACAATCTTCCCCAGGTCCAGCCCGGATCCACCCGATCAAGTCCTCGGATGCGGTTAATATCGTGACTGTGAGTGGCCAGCGATAGCATGGGTGTGATAGAGGTTGTCATCCTCGGAAATGCAAAGTTTGAGGGTGGTGGTTATCTAAAGTTGATCTATTCATTCTGAAGATTAAAAAAGAGAAATGATACCCTGAGTTGAGACTCAATTCGGCGGGTTTAGCTCGGGACCTCGGTATTGAACTTAAACTTGACCACCAGCATATGTGACAGCGAGATCCTCCACGATTTACTGGAACCCCGCGTTTGTCTATTCCGTAAAGAGCTGCAGATGCATGAGCTCGGAGACATGGCAATCGGACGGTCGGACGGATGATTCACATGCTCCTTGCTAGCTACAACCACGTAATACGTAGATGGGCTGATATCATGAGAATCAGCAAGACCGTCAGTCTGTTACAGTTCATCCGTTATTTCCCATCTTGCATAGCGTTCGTTGTTCGACCAATTGTAATGGCATGCCAGTATACAAAAGTGATCAGCAGATGGACTCTTGTTCGGCAATTGTGTAAGTCAAGCATCACTTCATTCATTTGAACCAGCATGTGAAATTATGAGAAATACCTAGGTTTCCTGCTACGTGTCTAGTCAACTCGGAGGTGGGAGGCTGCTATGTAGTTGGTTAGTTGATGATCTTCCTTTCATCCCTGAGCTATACATGCATCTTTGACCAGCAACCTACAGCTTCCCCGGATTTCGCAATGACTCACAAACCTAAAGTGTCATTCTTAATGGTACACGGATTGCCTTAATGTAAGAAACGCCTGTAACCACAAAGTTTCGCAGATTCTTCGGGGATGTAACGGTAGTGCAAGATGAGGGTGAATGCCGAACCCCGTGACGATATAGCTAAAACCTACCTTACGTCGGCTCGACTAGCTAGGTGTGAGAGAGCTCTAAGGTAGCTATCCAGAAGCGGTAATGAAAGCCAGGAGCTGCAAGCTATGGCTTATCGACAACGTGGCATTGTTGGATGTTGCTTCGGCAGTGACCCTGCTCGTGAAGGCTTGCATGGAATCGCCATTGGGTTCTCCAAGACATCTGCTTCTGGCATCTGACACGGCCCATAACTGTTGATGATGAAATTTATCATGTCTTTGTTATTTCAGCACGAGTTCCGTGTTCTGTTCTTTTGATTGTTGACTCCACTATCTCTTATTAGTTACAGTATAATACACTCACTGACAGCTGGTTGAATTTCCTGTACGCTGACCACCGGCCCCTTCACCAAAGATTCAAGCGCTGGGTCTAGAACTAATTTAAACTCCACCGCTGTCTCCCTTGCCTCCATCGCAAACAGTCGTTCTCTTATTGACATAGCCTGCCCCATAAAGTCCGCCCCAATAGAATCCTTCTCGTAATCAACCAAGTACTCCGCCATCTCATCATTCCTATAACCATCCGTAGCCGCTGCCCATACCATAGTGAGAAAGTCCGGCACAAAGTTAGCACCGTACGGTCGAGCACTCTCACATTGCTCTACCAAAGCAATACACTCATCGACGCATTCATGTGAATTTCCCACAAGCGTCAAATCTGTGTCCCAGATTCGCAAAGTATGTCCAATCACTGCAGTCATGGCGAGTAGAATTCCATATGCTACTCTGTATGAACTACAGACTCTTGTCGACATCGCCGGTGCGTTGGCTGCTGCTGTAGATATTGTGGCTAGTGCAAGAAGTTGTCGGACCTTGGGCATCTCGAACTGCATGACGTCGTAGATGCATCTTAGTTGACGAAGGTTCTTCTTTGGTGAGCGCATCAAGATAGATAATTCTCCCATGGTTCCAGATTCTAGGCTCAGGAAGCTTCCTTGGTGGTATTTGACTGGTCGTGGAGTGCCGATCGTCTCGCACGCTTCCCAGAACCAGGGACCTAGCTCAAACTGAGGGTTCAAGAAACTTGCCATAACCTAATCGTATTATCAGCTTTGGGAAATATACAAAGGAAGGGGTTGGAGTACGGCGAGTTGGCTAAGTCCCACCATGTAGTCGCCCAAGTCGTCAAGCTGATTTTTCATAACAGCTTCGCGAAATAACACTGATATTACTTCTCGATGTTGTTCGATCGACTTACGGTCTACCCAGTACTGATAAAAGTCAGCTCTAGCGAGGGTACATGGCTGCATAGAAATTTACTCACATGGCAAACAAACATAATTGAAACGACCTGCATCTTCATCATGATCTTCTCCTTCGGATCAAGTATGGCATTTCTGGTTGCTGTTAAAGCTTCTCCATATCTCGTCAAAGCATCAATTCTTGATTCCTGGCATCGATGTGATTTATACAGAGAAACCATCGCGTTTACACAAGAGTCGAGTGCCGGACTACAACCAATTTGTGCTACGATTTCTGGGATAAGTTTGCCGCCAAAGGCTCGGATATCGAATCTGGCATCCTCAGTCTGAAGGATGTGAACCAACGAGGATGAGAGCTGGGTCTGTTCATTGCTGGGACGTCGTTTGATAAGACTATGATCTTCGTTCTGGAATGAGTGAAATTTCCATCGTTTGATGCCATTTCCAACGCATGGTACGCCAACTCGTTTACATCTTCCGCATGTTGGTTTAGCTTGGTCGCACTTTTGCTGTCAATACTGGAGTTTACTATGAGACATATTGCTTGCTATGCTTACTTTCTTCTTCTGCCTACGGCATCCGTCGCATCCGCGGCTCGATGGCGTTCCTGGCATAATGGCGCTAATGTGTAGGATGTGATCCGCGCGATAAGGCGAGGACAGTTCAGCTGTTAATAAATCATGACATCTCGAATCAACCTAATCAGAGGTATCCACAGTGGCCGAGCTTCGGTGATGAGCGGTGCCGGGTGACGTTAAGTTCGGCTGCGCCTTGGGAGGCCATGCAGCTTTGTATGGCAGGGATCGTCGGCTGACCGCCCGTCAAAACAGGGGTTGAGGATCAGTGTAACGCGCTTAGTTAGGGCTCTAAAATAAACACTTAATACTAGCAAAGTTGCTTGTTGATCTAGTATCTTGTAACGTCGGACATGGCTTAATCACAAGGCTTACATGTAGTGTGCGTATTTTATCGTATCAAACATCTAGAGCAGGTACCTTGCTTGTTGATGTCAATCTTCGACACAGCGGATTTACTTAGCCGTAGGGCTGGGCTTACGCTAGCATTACGAGGGACAATTTATCTGCACAGCCAGTAAGAAAAGCAAATCATCTTTATTGTTGTGTTTATAGCTTGTCCGGGACAAATAGACGCATACGTGGTTTATCGTTGGTCAGGATTCTCATCAGCGACGGCCAGTAAGCAACTAGTGTCTTTTTCTCCGAAACTTCATGTGTCAGAACTTTTGTTGTAATCCCCTAAGGCCCTTGCCTATTATTCCTCCCGAGTCTGAGCACTGGACGGTCAGACTGTGCTTCTTTTTCTTAACACCGCGAAGTAGGTGATACCTTTCGTAGTACGGAAATCAGTCTACTATTGCATATAAAGTCTTTATCTCTCTGCAACCCTGGGGTAATCTCGATCTGATAGTCTATAGCCCTTGGGCCTTGAATAGCTTGTAGCATCTATATCAAACTCCCTAGCAAGTTCTTCGTCGCTTTTCTGTTTTTTCTCATTCTTTTCCTCCTACGTAATATGAAGAACATGTCGTAGCCTATCGACCTGTCCTATTATCCATCTGACCTGCCCATCACGAAGTACGGTTCGCATGTTTCCGAGTATCCTCAGTACCTCCGTTAATGTACCGTACATCATGTACAATCCAGATGTTATCACTTGTTGCGCGTGCTTGGTCGTATTCTCAGGAACCGGGCAACCCCGGCCGCTCCCATATGAAGGTTCTCGAACCACGGACGGCACGAACACGGCGTGAGACCATAATTCTCCTGCGGTCACGTCACCTGTCAGAAACGGCACACTGGCGCATATCTCGTCAACAAGTATCTGTGCTCGGGCCATGAGTGTAGACGGCAGGCCAGTCTGGTGTCCATCTTCCTGGTGTGGGATGTCGACAAGACAAGAGCCGATTAGTGAGAGACATCCCAGCTCAGTGGTCCGCTGGCGATTGACTGAGTTGGCTATGGAGATATTTGCATAGACGGTCGGAGCCACTTGCTCGTACGTACTAGCGAACTGGATTGATGGGGTGAGAGTGTAGGTTGGGATAGATATCGGCCTCCACCTTGATGACAGTGCGCTGTGCCATATTGCACATTGGCTTGCAATAACAGTAGCAAGGTCTATGGTAGTTTGCAAATTCAGGCTGTTTTCGGCAGTTACCATAAGCCTAAGCTGTGATAATCTGAATGCCAGTGTGTCGGCTTCCACTGATGGCCCTTTCGGCCTTTTCAGGTTGCCATGGCCCCAAATATCAACAATTGCATCGACAGCAGCCAGTTCGTCAGCACCGTGCAAGGTGTGTTGAAGTAGCCTATTCCTAGTGGCAATGACGAGGCGCCACGATAGCTCGTCTTTGAAGTTCAACGGCCCTCGGTGCTTCAGCAAGGCGATGGAGCCAAGGACATGCGTGCGTGACTGCGAGGAGAGCTTCTCTTCTCTTCCAAATACGCCCTTTGCGCTCTCGTACGCCTCGAGAATAAGTGTCGTCATTAGGAGCGAGTCCGATTTGCTCTGTGCCGGCGCGGCAAGGGCTTGTTTGGTCTGTACCACTGCATATGCATAGACAGTACTTGCCATTCGGCTTTCGCCACCACGTGAGAAATGCAGATGTGCAACCTGAAGCGCAAGTGCCGCCGTTGCCCTGTTGAGGGGAGAGGATACATCTGACTTGGCGTACATGTCGGGGAGGAGGCTGAAGAAACTGCATGTTTCTTCGATGTTTTGACACAAACTGTAATGGAGGAAGAAGAAGTTCAAGGCGTTGGACTCAGGGTCTGAGAGAATGCTTCTCGGCGGAGATACCCGCATCGGACCAAAGTTGAGTGTTGGCGGCGCGCCCAAAGTGACAGTCTTGCGACTATGACGGGAATGCCGTCTCCAGACCTTGGCTGTTTCGTCTCTATGCGCTTTGTCGAAGATGTCCCTATACCCTGGGCATGTGCTTCCCCGAGTAGAGCAGTTTAGACACTCCGGCTGTCGTTGGTCACACTGTCCACGAGGTGGTCAACATAGGCCAAATCAAAGACGCCTTGCGACTCACCTTGATTCTCTGGTCCCGGCACATACGGCAGCCCTTACTCGGGCCATTATAGACCATTTTGATTTCTTATTATGCATCAAAAAAGAAGCAGCACGATCTGCTTGTCATTTAATCGAATCGTGGATGGGTCTGTTGAAATGGTTGTTGCGAACAGGCCTACAAGAAGTTGGGCCGAACTCCGAAGCTCTCAACACCCTCTCTGCGGGATTCGTCAGATACTTGACTCGATGGATAGCGGGTAGATGCAACGCTGCGCAAGGGCATCCCAGACTGGGTTAGCACAATGTCTGGCTTACAGGGCAGGGATCCTTCAGGGACGTAGCCACCCTCCTCCATCACCCATCGACTAAACTATTCTCGGAGGAGACTTGCGACAGACACGAACGTCTTTCCAACTCCCACAAGCATCAAAGGTAAGGGTAAGAGTGCTTATCGAATACGTGATTGGAAGACTCTGGAACCAACGGTCCATTCTATGTGTTCTCGTTGCTCAAAGACTTTCTTACCAAGCCGTTTAGAAATGGCTATAAAAAGGCTGTAATGCCTTCTAGTGATGACATATGACATTGAATTATCCATTAACCATACCTCAAATTTACTTTATACATTCAGAACAAACATACAACTCTTTGAACCATGCATTTCTATTGGATTATCACCTCATTGGCATTCATCGCTGGAGTGTCGGTTTCAGCAACCTTCGAAGGCCACACATGCCATGAACATCGAGCTCTCTCAGGTGAATATGTCTATGGACCGGTCACGATGGGTGCAGACCCTCTGACTCACTTCGATTCCCCTATGGTCAATGTGTTCAACAGCACCGTCAGTGAGAACTGGTCGTTCGATGCCGCTTCCATTAATGGTAAGGCCAGTATCGTCCTCTATCTCACCCGAGGCACAGTCGCCACCGTAGTCGGTGCACAGCGAGGCCTCATTTCGGTCTCTTGGGCCAACGGAACTCGGTACATGGAGAACGTCTTCGTCGACACCTCGACGTTGACGACATGCCCAAAAACTACGTCTGGGCTGTGGGCGACCAAAGCTGGCGACATAAGCTGGGGCTTCACCGCGTCTAATGATTTTAAGCAATCCGTCGTTACCATCAAGTCACCTACCATCAACGGGACGTTCAAGCTCAAATCACGAGGACCGTCAATCTATCCCGGAGGGCTGGTGTACCCTGACCCCAGGGCCAGTGTGCTCTTTGCCCCGGAAATGTATTGGCAAGAGCAATTCCCAGTTGCCGACGCCGAGGTACACCTAGACATTCGCGGCACACCTTTCACCTTGCATGGCGTTGGAGGCCGGGACAAGAACTGGAACTCCCGGCCTTGGGCCGTGATCAGTGGCAACTGGGACATGGTACGAGCTATTGTCGGACCGTATGGCATCATGTTATGGAACTACACGTCGAGTGTGGACGGCCAGTCCTACTTCAGCGCCACTATAATAGAAGACAACAAAGTGATTTTTCGCACGACAAATCAGAAGGCCTCATGGTCAGAGGACTGGGGCACCATGAGACTGACCAATACGGGGCCCCTACATTTGTCCTCCGCTGCCGGATCTCAATCTCAATTGCCCGAGTCACGTCATACCGGGTATCTCATCGACTTGGTATCTACTAAGAGAGGCCAACACTGGCGGTTTACCATCGACTTTTCGCAGACAACATTCTGGTTTCCTGCAAGCGAGAGGCTGACTGTTGGCCAATTCGCAGGAAGGGTTTCGGGTGGCTTGTTAGGAAAGAAGCAATATAAGGGGGTTGCATCTGGTTCAGTTCAGGAGTTTGTTCTCTGAAGTCAGTCTATACTACATCAGGCTACGAAATGGCCGAGAATATTCAAGGCCAGCGCATTTTGCGCGAGTGTCCTGATATATGCGTCACGGCAGAACCCAGCGGTCTCATGATAACCATCATGGCTACAAAGCTTTCAATACCACTTGGTTACCCCATCTAAATTGAGAGCATTATCAGACGCAACATCCTTATTCATTGCTCGGAGCTGTTAACGCCTGAATATCTCTGCCAGCATGAACCTAGCACAGTCCAGCTTTTAACTATTAGGCAGAGACCAAATCTTGCGATGATTAGTGAATCTGATGCATAGTCAACGAGAGTGACTTCTTAGAAGAGAATAAGCTCATGGCGGTAAAAGCCTATCAAAGCATCTTCGACCTTTATTCGCTAAGCTTTCTCCCATGTAGTTTGTCCGGCGACGGAGTTTTTACCGGATGGCTTGCTTTGCGTCTATGAGTTTTAGGCTTTTGGAATAAGAAGGCTTAAATTGTGACTAAACAGTCGCACCAACCCTTATCAGCCGTCACAAAATTATATAGGACCTTAAGAAACTTTAAAATCATGACAGACAGCTTGTACGGTATTTAATGGGCATCTGACCCTTCTGTGTACCCTACTGGTTTCCCCCCTCACCGCATTTATTCATCTTCACGGAACAGCTCAAAACTCAAGAGTGCAATATTTGACATATTACCTACAAGCTGCCAACAGTCAAAAACAGACGAGAGGCGTAAAACTGTCTCAGAGGCTTTTGAAGCTCCTTGGTAGTGATGACAAGGGTATTATAACGATCCTCTCAAATGAAGCTACGAGATCACTTTTTCAAAGGTGGACGATGCGCGTCTCATTACATATCGCAACACGAGATAGAGGGAGAGCTATTATGTATTGGTTCGCTACATCAACGTCTGTACTTTCCAAAGAAAGTGCCTGTCCTTTCTCCATATATCAACAAGAAATGGGCCAGAGGCTCTCAGAAATCTTTCCTCCTTTTTCCTTTTCCTTCTTTTCTTTTCCCACTTCTCCTTACATTCTGCGCATTCTACAGAGCTGGGCTTCTCTATATGCTCAACCGTTGGCCTGCATTTCTGGACATCTCGCATAGCACAGGAGGTTTCCTCCTGCTTCTTCTTGGCTTCCTCTGCTTCTTTTTCTTGCCTATTCCTTCCAGATTCCTTACACTCTTTGGGACGATTCAAAAGATTCACTCTCTCATCTCTCCAGCCTTTACATTTTGATGTACCCGCTAGATCACATGGGCAATCAAGGTAGTCTCGTTCTACCTCCTCCCCACACTTACACCAGTAATGGAATCCTTTCTGTACGCACATGTTGAGTTCCGAATGAGTAGACTTTTGTAGTAGTTTGCGCAAGAGCTAATGTTGCGGTAGAAGAGTTCATATCTGAGCTCAGCCGTTTTATAGGTGTGCCAGTCATTGGCCACGTTAGTGAGGAAGTGTTAAGAGCAATTCTCATATAAAGTTTGCACTCTTATTGTAGTTGGAAGGTTTCAACGTCGCCTCCAAAATGAAGAGGAATCAGTATTAGGTCATATATCTTTCGGTTGTCCACATAGATGAAGACAACAAGATTAAGCCACAGGGTTTCAGTGATTTGAACTAGTGACTATTCTGCGGTCTTCTTAGTTCCCTATTTCTTCTGTTGCTTGGCCTTCTCCTCCTCCCTTTCCTCCTCGGAATGCTTCGTCTCACACTCCCTACATCTTTTCTCTGAATTCCACTCTTGAATTTCCTGGTCTTCTGTGCCTTTGCAATCTGACGTGCCCTTTGCCGAACACGGTGACAATTTAGGTCCCTCTAGTTCTGATTCCTTGCCACACTTGCACCAGTGCTGGAAACTGAGATTTGTGCACATGTTGAGATTGAAGTGAGTAGTATTTCGTGGTATCGTGGTATCAAGATCTTCTGTCGAGAATTGAGCGTAAGTTGCTTGGAATATGTAAAACCGTATCTTGTTTGGGAGTTGCAAAGTTCTGTTGCACCTCGGGATAATTATATTCTCAGGGTCCCCCGATTGAACGGAGGTGAATAATGGATGTCCAGGAACTCTGATCCACGCAGATATGCCCACTCACCATGATTCCGGGACATTAACCGCTGTAATGGCCTAATGTCTTTGCTATTCACACACTCCCAACACTTAACTATCGTCGCCGATGGACTGCGCGACGTCGTGTCTGAAGATTGACGTGGGCGTGAGTGAATAATGTGACTGAGTTGCTTGAGTGATTATAAGCACTCAGACACAGGTATCAACTACAGCCAAATCTAGTTCCCCAATTAGATGTTGTGCCACAATGCCTCAAAATTTACTACAGGAATGATGCTTTTAAAAAGTTTACCCCAGATTTCAACCTCCTGTGATTATCCCACACCTACCAGATAAATGTATCCTTTTCTCCGATATCTCGTTACAATAAACATAAAAGGATGCAATGATTCAATGTGGCCCTCTGGGCCTCAAATATCGAGCGTACCGTACTGTAAAGGACGATTATTCTCCGTTAACTCCTGTTCATACAGTTTCGATTTCATGTCAGTTATATAGTCTTGGTCTCTGCAGTCGTCCTGCAGTCGTCCTGCACCCGAGCGAAAATCTCCTCCTCTTCTTCATCTGTAACAAAATGTCCAAAGGGGTATATTTATAGTTTATCTTGAGTTTCAAGCGAGGGTTGAATGGGGGGAGCACAAGATCTTTGTTTGCCAATTTTCTCGGGACGTGGACGTCGAAGATCTGATCCAAAGAAGTGGGAAGCATGAGATCGAAAAGCTGTGTTTGCAATAATTTCTAGATTCCTTTTGGACAGGAATTTCAGAAACCATTACCCTGCGCATGTACATGAGCTAAAGGATTCGTGTGTATTACGTACGGATTTTGTACCTTACAGCTAATGCATATCCTTTTTGCAATCCGAAGAAGGCAAGAAAACATGAGACCTCGACCTTAAGGGATGACAAGGCTTAGATAAATTAAGGTAAACTTAGAGTGATCTTTTATGAGTTTATTTTAATATAGTATATGAAGAGTAGAGAAGGAGCTGATTTAGCCTGCTAAATCTACCCGTCTTCCGGGATACCCAGCTTTAAATATCTATCTGTACTAATTATACCACAACTTCATTGGATTATTCGTGCTACTCCCGACTGGCATTCTGCAAAATTGCTACACTACTCATCAAAGCCGTGACAGTCCAGTGATATCCCATTGAACCTGTGGTTGCCCTGCCCAGAAATTGGAAGCCCCCCGACCTCTGAACAGACACTGATCCTGATAAAGCATTGTCTTCGTGTATCATTGCAACAATTTCGTAGCTTCTAGACCGGTGTGAATCTGACTTGCTTGTACGACCTAGCGATACAAGTTCCCAAACCATGCTATAAGCGCTGCTCCGAGCTTCTGAAGAGATACGCCACTCGAAAGATTCTGTTCTGCGACTTCCACCATGTTCAACCCTCATCGAGAAACTGTATCGAGGATTTGACCGTGAACGATGATAGGCCATAGTGACTTGGCTGGAAGGAGTGTTGTAGCTGGGTATTCCGGGGAGTTGAAAGATGAAGCCGTCGCCGGATCTGAGTCCAGACGATATCGGATCTCCAGCAACGCTGGACCCTGGGAAGAGATATGTCGGCCCTTGCCAGCCTCGAGGCATACAGGCTGCATATGTAGTGTGGGAGCCTGGTTCAGAGATGAAGAGAGCCATTGTAGAGGATGATGGAGTCCAAGTGAATTGCATGATCTGAGGGAACCCTATCTCAACGACTTGGTCTGATATCTCGTAGGGGCCTCCTGAACTTGAAGAGCTGTTGGCGTATATGTCTTCCAGATTTGCAACGAAGGCCGGAAATATCATGATGAAAATCACAGAATTGACGTAAAGAGAAAGTTGCGTTCAATCTGGGTTCTTAAACTGAGTCCCCGGTGAAAGGAGTTTGATACCACGAAGCCGAGTCTCTTTAGGTTACCGACAAACATCAAAGACAACAGAAAATAGTTTATATAGCGAATGGATTGCTATTCCAACGGCGGTTTAAGATATGAGCTTCTTTCCCCTTGACCCCCAATTCATCATAGCAAAATCTTTCACAGACCAAGACTGAGATGTTGCTGCCTCCGACACATTCAACCCTTTTCAGTACAAATGGGCCGCTCTTCCTATTACAATCTATATATGAATGGCGATTGGTCGGCCGAGATCTTATAAGGCTGATACGTCTTCTCATCACAAGAACGATCCTCGAGAATATTTGCCTTAGCAGGAAGAATCAAGCGGTACCCCTGCGTCGATTTCTCTTACACATACTTGCCAAGACGCCCTCTAGGCCCTTAGAACCGGGGCGCTGGGTCGGAAAGATCTCATGTAAGCAGATCATTAGCTTAAATGGCTTTTCCATGCGATGTCTGTGCCTGGGAGCTGAACGCCAAACGGTCTGCAACACCAGCCAATTGTCCACCACAGTCGGTAGATCAGAAGGTTTGTGGCTGTGCTACAGCGCTGCATACGGTACGAAATGGGAATTAGCGTTGCATCGATCGGATAAGCCCTGGCCTGTGGCGTTGAACTAAGCTGATGCCATCGAAGACAGGTAGTCTGGTTGGTTGGAGGCGTTGCAGGGATGGCGCTGGACTTGCCGAAAGAGGCTGACTTCTGGTGCAGGGGCGAACTTGTGTAAGTGATCGCATGATGAGGCTGGGGACCTGCTTGGCATCTTGAATTACAGAGTACGTGTCGCCATGGGCTGTGCCGTGCTTTTTCGGCAGCCGAAGGATTGGGGTCTAGACTTGGACTGTGGGCAGATGGACCACTAATCTGCCTCGTCGCTGCATTTCACCGTTTCGGGAAGATAAAGAAGAGAAACCTCCTCGTGATGATCTTGTTAAGATGATGAGTAACATGTACTGGCTACTTCGAAACTTTTTGTTCGATCTAAGTGGTATTAGGATAGTTATTAACCGTGAATGTCGTCCAGTTCTTATCACGTTATTTGACCACGGCCATGATCTACAAAAAGTGAAGAGTCTAGGATTACTTTTTTCAAGTTTTATTGTTCATCTATCCTAGAACTTTCAGAGACTGGTGTGAAACTAGGAGCAACACCGTCGAAGTAAGGCGCGCGATGCAAGCATCAGCTATCAGCTATATCAACTCCAAATAGAGCCACATTGCAATACCGTCTTAGTTTAATAAATCTCCATACTCGTAAGGCATGTCGATCGACACATCGTCCGTCTCATATGCCCATTCATCATTCCTGTACTCCAGCTTCATCTTCTCTTCTTCAGGTCTAGGGCACTGGTAGCGGTTCCCACCGACTGTGCATTCAAACTTCTCTTGGCCAAGCATCGTCGCGATAAACCTTCCTAGGAGGAGGAAAATCCACAAGGGGTGGACTTGGGTGTTGTAACCAGCCCAGGTCTTGACACAATCAACCCGCAGGTTATCAAAGGCAAAGACGCGGAACTCTGCCATTTGAAGCCATTGCAGAATTCCGTAAGGGTGGGGAGCTTCGAGATTTTCCATCATATCGAGAAGTCTTGTGCGCGTTGCTCCGTCTTCGAGTGCGGGCTCCTTGATAGAGGAAAGGAAGGCGAATGTCTCAGCGTCAAAAGTGGTCATGGCGCGAGCTAACGGAATGAATCAGGTGGCGTGAATAGAAACTCTTTGTATAGGTCTTCTGCACCCGGATCAGGTGTATCCAAAAGGGTTGAAGCACTTCTTGCTGCTGTAGTGTGTGTTTCCTGTGATGGGCTTTGTCTCGTGATGCAGGTCTTGGTGGACTAGCTGAGGCGCCTCACGATGGGAAGCTGGTAGATTGAGAGCTTATATCACCACACAGAAATCAGGTAGTACAGTGACAATGTGGAGATTCAGAACGTAGGTTGGTAGAAAACGTCGGAAGAGAGAGAAGGGGAGTATCAAGCCTCTTTACCGGCTGGTGGAACAGTGAATCACTGCCAATTTGGAGCTAAGAAACGGCAGCATCAGCCGAGCTGAATCACTGACAATACAGCACCGAACTCGCTTATCTGATCTGTTTTCTTTTGTGCTTGTCGAAGTGCCGTTGTTCCTTCTTATTTGCAATACTTTCCTGCCACCTGTTTGGATAACAATGGCATTCCCCTTGCTGCTATCATATTAGAGGTTATATATGATCTCAGTCGTAGCGATTAGGAACCTGACTTTAATTAATGAAAGGTAAGACCTTGTCTGGGAGCCAGCAGGCAGGCCGTCATTTATACACCTTTGGAGACAGTCATCAGGATATCCAACCTTTCAGCCAAAAGCAACATCTGAGGCACCATGGAGGGCAAATAGCATATTGCCCATATATGTTAACTTATGTTCTTTACCTTTGTGTTAGGGCTGAAGTCTCTTTTAAACCCTTAACCTTATCACAGGCCTGGGAGCCAGATGCAGACAGTCTCTTTATTTATCAAATGTCAAGTCCGCGGGATGATGGGTTCTACGAACTTTGTTAAAGCCTGCTGGATGGTTTTGGAACCGTATTAAAAACCCACTTCGGGTTGTCGTGAGGCATCTGTTATCTGTTTTCAAACCTTCAGTGAGTGAAAGTTTCTGGCTTCCCTGATATGTAAAAGCAACAGGAATTGTGCTTTGGGCCGTCTATCTCGCGAGTTTACTAGCCGGGATATGACCAAATTAACTCAACGGCTGTGACAGGAGATAGTGATCTAAACTGCTCAGAAATGGCATCTCATAAAGCCTTAATTTATCTCACATACATTTCTTGATATTACAACAGAATTGGGGTTCGACTTTGTGCCACTGCTTTCACTGATCTGGACTTCATCTGACTTCTATCGGAGCATTGTGGTCAACGCTAAATAGCCCTTTGCCACATCCCGTACCCGATTGGCTATCTACTGTAACGAAGACTAGATTCACACTTCACTCATGACAAAGCATGAGGGTGTTGCAGTTTCGCCCTTCGCTAAGTAGTCATAGAATAAACAGCTTTCCTCTTCTCTATGAGGAGATAATAAAACTTGTTTCATCTTTCACCCATATGCATTCCATCCCATCCATAAAACAATATCAGAACGTGACATTCCATGCAGTTCTGTTGCCAACAGTTCAGTATTCACTCTTATCCCCAACCTAATAGTGACCGCTCAGCTTGAAAGCACCGCCGCAAATCTTCCTATGAACAAAGACGTGGTAAGTTTAGTGGCGTACTTGAAGTCTTTGTTCGTAATAAGCAGTAACCAAGATAGAGTGCCATTCGAGCTCACAGAACGTATAACGGTTTTCTAACTAAACAACTTATTGTTCAAGCTGGCTTGGTCTTTAACCATAGCCAGCTCCTTTATTCATCGCCACTTGGCTTCTTTTCGGCGACCCCACAACTGTGAACCAGTGTCAGTCCCATAACGGTTGTTCGGCGTATAGCGAGCGCCCTGCAGAGAAGGTAGCTGACTTTATCTACGAAAGCATATAAAAAGAGAAAACATCTTGCATAAACCTATTTCTATTAAGCTTAGCATCTTCGCATCACCACCTCAGCTAACTAATAACGAAACTCATACACAACAAGCAACTTGACTTTGCAAACGACTCATCATTCGGGCACGTATCCCTCATCCTGTCAACCTATACCTATTTTCTCTACAACACTGTCAAAGATTAATTACATCGAGGACGTTCAATTCGGAATCGAAACCCTGGACGCGTTCTCAAAAGCTTTCGCCGAAGCACAGCACAACTTTTATGAGATGGATGACTCTGACTAGTCCGCGGTGCAGAGGGAAACCTTGGATCAGCTGTACGAAGAAAATGAAGTCGTTTTTGAGTTTTAGGGCCCGTGGACCAATGATATCTCGGACTGGTGTAATTTGACCGTGCGTCTCGCACACTGCTATTTGCTTTCTCTTCAGAAGGAGCTCCGGGATCTCCTGCCAGCTAACCATCTGAAGGAATTCTTTACCCCCGAGTCGGACGTCCTTAGCTTCATCGCCGATTGTGAGAATACAATCCTGCGCGGCTTTCTTCGCTGGGTCATCATTGGAGCTCACAAGCCCTCGATTTACGCCCATTTTTTTCTAAAGATACATTCTGCTGATGAAGCAGCGGATTATATGGTACCCAAGCCCGAGGGTGATATGCAAGTGGTCCTCGTCCGTATAACAGACCTACCCAAGTTAGTAGATCTCTGGGGTCAGCGTGTTGTCTCTGGTCTAGGCGAGGAGGAAATGGTTGAAGTATGCAAGTCCAACAAGCCAAACTTTCGCAAGTCTGTGACTAAAGGGCTTTGTGTTCTGGCGTGGAAGATTCCTGGGAAGTATGAGGATATGTGGATGGACGGCCGGTGCTTTGCTATTCCTGATGTTCCTGAATTGATCTAGTTTTCTTGCTAGACAAGTAACGCTCACATAGGAACGATTGGTATTGGTGAACATGAGTAGGAATGTAGACTGGTAGGGATACAGACTAGGGCGCCAAGGCGTTTAGGTTGAGGTTTTATCTTTTGGGTAGCAGAATCGTAGGAAGATATGCAGGTCATGTCTAACATTCTATAATCTTGGGTCCATTTGCCTGATGAGAATTGCAGCTAGGACAGTGACATTGTTCAGGAGAACCTATTCTTTATACAGACTAGAGCGCCAAGGCGTTTAGGTTGAGCACAGCGAAGCTTATTTGAGCCCTGCGCTTCATTATTCGATGTTCTGTTATCAGTAATGGACATGTTCTGTCTTCAATGAGAAAAAGCTCGTCGTGATGATTCTACCTATGTCACAAGTTGACAATTTCACAATGACGCAGACCAGGCTTCTTTGGCAACGACAACCTTTCGGACTGTAGCTTGTCATCGCTTTGCCATACCCCTTCGCTTAGAGCTTTACTCCTTCCAAGCGACCCCAACACCACCACGCGTCGGTCCGATGCACGCGATAACATCCGTGTCGTGTCCCGAAGGTGGGGGTAGCCCGAATAGTGGATCCTCCCATTCAGCCTTAGCAACCTTAACGTAGGTAAAGTTATGACTCCCACAATAATTGAACATCCTCTCTTCTCATCACGAAGCTGTTAATAAAAGGACTCGAGACAAAAGGCATTTGTGCTGACAAATTGCGAGTGAACAACTGCCGAACATCGTCACTGATCCTTCTGTTCTTGGCGCGAGGGCTGTGCTTACAATCCCTGTCGCCAAAACCTGTCAAAAACTTGGCACAGTTTGAGGATCAGCCCAAAAAGGCGCAGGGCTTTTCTGGTTTGGGAATTCGATGTAACGGTAAGGCTGGAGCTCATTTCCCCTTAATTCTCGTCTGTTTTTCGTAGTTCCCGCGGGTGCGGATGTTGGGTCGTGAGTTGGGAATAGCTTCAGCCCCGACAGAGGCAGAATTGGTATCATTTCTAGAATTAAACTACTTTCGAGTGCATCAATCGAATCATTAGGTATTCCTGCCAGTCTCAAACGCCCCACTTCGACTTGTTTAGTTGTCTAGCTCCGCGTATGCGTACCAATCGTCCTTGAAACCCCAATTGCTCCCCTATCATGAAATTAGCATTAAATCATCAACCTGGATCAGAAAGCTTGCCTGCGCCTTAGAATTGTTCTTCAACCAGCAATTCGCGTTTAAACCGTCTAATTCGTCTTTCATGCGCTTCGAAAAGACGATGCTGGCGCATTTCACTCCGTTGCCGGTTTCGGCGTCCTTGTCGATCATGTTGCCGCAGGCTTCCATACAGTCTTCAATTGTATACGCATAGATAGGCGCGTAATCGGCAACAATACCTCCTCCCTCAGCTGGGGTGCCTTGTGCTGCGTTGACGCCGCACCACCACTTGAACTCGTAGCCTTTGTTGGTCTTGTACCGTGTCTCGTCTTTCTTTGAATCGGGGCAATCTAACTCCAGCAGGCTAACTGTGTCAGCAGCTCTCGGTACATAGGGAGCTGTTTCGTTGACTGATGTGCTGTTGTCGGGTGTTGGGCACGATGTTGCGGTTGGTTCTGCTGTCGCGGCGGGAGCGGTACCAGATACTGAGTCCGCTGAGCAGTCACTACTATTGAGATGTCAATAAGCATAATTGAACACATTTAAAGTTTAAACTTACGATTTATTTGCCAATGCAGCGCCCAATCCTCCACCTACACCCGCGCCGACAACGATAGCCGTACATAGAGCGACGAGCGCAGCGAAAGTCCAAACTCCAAGCCCAAAAGGAATCCTTGCTCCATCTGATGACGCCTGCTGAGGATGATGATACCCGGGAGGTATATAATAATTGCCGTTATCGTAACCGGGAGCTACTTCTGGGGCTTTGGCGGCTTGTTCAGCGTCCATGTTGACCTGGAGGCCTTCACTATCCGGAAGATGCTGTTGTTGACTCATTGCGCAACTCAAGACGATCAAAAACCGCTGACGAAACAATAAATGAAAAGGAAGAACCAAGAGACAGGGAAAAGGAGCGGATCAGTCAGGCAGGATTAAATGGGGGCGCAACTTGGGGCCTTTATAACGACGATCCTTTTCGCTAGGCCTGGTTTCAAAAGGGTATTACAGGCTACGATCTGTAAGCTGACCGCATCCAATCCGCAAATCATGGTTCATTTTGGCCCCCATGTTCTCGTTGTCGTAGCATGGCTAATAATATCCCTGCGAGGTGAGTGGGCTAAAATCCTGTTGGAGTTTGGAATGCGAATTTGGAGTAAAGCTTAGGATCTGGGCAGGGGTAACAAGCTTTTTAATCCATGAATCGGATAACGTCTTGGAAATCAGGTTTGGTGAGGTGATAAGGATGTCGTGGGCAAAATACTCGGTACCTACTTGAGCTTTCAGCCCTGTGTTGTTGGGGCCCGTTTTAAGGCGCCGTCTTGGGTGACATTCAGGGTGGCATTTAGTGGCTTTAGCTTTTCGGGGTAGCATCGATACAACACACACAGCTCGCGATGCAACTGAAATGGCATGAGTTTTGTCTGGGCGTCAAGGGCAGCAATTTCCCAGAGTCATAAATAGCTGTGGAGGAACCCAGTCTACTGCGAACTGCTGAGGCATCTTGTACACCAGCAAGCCATAGCAATTCTCCGATGAAGTCCTGTCGCCAATCATGGCGTCGTCTTACCCTGAACCTCCAAGGAATGTCTCATTTCAGTGCATGATTGGCCAAAATCACCATCCACTCAGGTTGCTGTTTCAGACAAAAGTACGACGAGTTGCTGCTGGATGGTGCGGGTCTTTTCCTTTCCTATATTTGTGACCTGTTACATGTTATAAATGCTCTGCTCAGTAAAGCGACTTTGCCTACAAAGCGATGTTATATAATTTCTAGTTCAGACAAAGGCAATGAAATTGTGGTTGGTCTGTGACCATCACCATTCAACTTCTTTGTTCGTCGACTGACAAAGCCCCTGACAAAAGTCAACCTCTTCCTGGATTCCACTTCTTGCTGCAATACGCGTTGCTGGCCAAATCTCCTTGCCATTCTTTTGCTCCTCCTTTCGATGCTGAACAACTGCATTCTTGAGCAATCTCTGAAAGTATAACACGCCCTTTTCGTTAAACGAATTCAGGTCTCCTGTGACATAGACCCCTGCGTTAAGGTTCTTCTGGGCCGCATTGCAAAGGTCTTTGTCTTCAGATTCAACTTGCTTGAAGAACTGGTCAATTTCTTGGAACTCTTCATCTGTTGCGTCTTTGTGGCGATAGACTTCGTATTGCATTGATGTTGTGGTTGCTGATGTTGGGACAACACGCATGAGATAGAAGTATTTGGTTCTTTTGTCAGTCAGTTGATGTTCATTCTTTCGCAGATACGTAACTCACGTCATGGTAACTGATGCATTGGGGAAGAAAAAGGTCGGTGCGACATCGAGGCCAGATTCTTTTCCTGGTTTGTCTTGCACGTAATGTTGGATTTGCCCTCCCTTGGTCTCGACTTTGTACGTCTTGAGATCAGAAGTAGCAGCGATTCCAGGATGAGCCACCGAGCAGTGATAGCACTATATGCGCAGGTTAGCCAAAGCACTACCAGTATCAAGTTAGAATGGCTTACCTCGTTGTAATTGTCGACTAAAGTCTTCCAGTTATAGTTCCCATTCATGTCCCAGGCATGGTCGAAGGAGTAATCATCCATATCGAAGCTATCAAGTCTGGGTTGCTTGTCGGCACCCTTGAAATCGGCATCCCATGGCACTGGCGTTTCATTGCCGTCAAAGTTGATCCATACAAAGCCTCTATGGTCAACATAGACGTGAACCTTGAACAAACCACTGCTATCCATGTCGAAAGTATCCATATTCTCAAACCGAGGAGCTTTTGCGAGTTTACCACTGAGACCGTATGACCAGCCTAGGCGTAGTGTCAGCTAGCCGACGAAATCTTTGACTTGACTTGGACGAGCTACTCACCATGATATTGACAAGCAAGAATTTTAGCATTGCCTTCGTCTTTAGTGATAACAGGATATGCACGATGACGACAGATGTTATGGAAACCATTCAGGTTACCTTCCCTATCTCGACAGAGGAAGAAAGAGAAGCCGGCTTCCTGATATCTGACATAATCTCCCGTCTTGTTGAATCGGCTCTTATGAGTGACTAGGAGCCACCGCTTGGAGAACACGGCTCGCCTTTCTAACTCGTACATAGCAGGTTCTCGGTACCAAGATGCTGGCAGGGCACGAGGTACGTCAGTGGTGGCTGGAGCAGCCTTGCTTTGAGAAAGAAATTGGAACATGGCGAAATGTTGGATCGGCAAGATTATCGATCTAATAAATTTGGCTATGTGTGAGAACCTGAAGTCTGAACTGGGTGGATATATCTATTATATGTTATTGCCGAAAGGGAACATGATTTTATACATGATCGAGATTGCCACAAAGCTGCTGCGTCATGAACAAAGTTGCAGTCATGAACAAACACCTCAATGCTCGATAAACAACATAAGGGGTAACTTATACAGTATTGGTAGACATAACCGACTCTATCTCGCACTTTCAGGCCATTCTAGGTTTAGTCATTTTTTCGATCAAGGTGGTGGTTCACACCTCGTACTTTCTATCCCATCTCGTTTTAGCGCCATTCCCCTCCTCCAACCTTTTGGTATTGAGTTTGTTGTTAGTTCAACCATTGATTTGGACTTGATAACTTACAGGGTATTATCGGAAATTACGGAATATGATGGCTATAACTTGGCCGGATTTCCATTTGAGGGGGACATAAGAAGAGGTTCAAGTTCAAGCAAGACACTAATCATTGTCATTTGTCATTGACCTAATCAAACATGTCGTCGCAATCTGATATCGAGAAAAAGCCAACTATGACAAACGTGGAGCAGAATCATGAAAATTTACAGGAGTTGGGGTATACGCCTGAACTCAAGGTATACTATCCTTCCATGATGTTTGGTTCTTGGTGTTGATAACGAACAGCGCAACTTCTCGGCTGTTTCTATGCTTGCAACATGCGTATCACTGATGGCGACGTGGGAAGCTCTTTGCAGGTAAGTCGTCTAATATCTTCCCTCAACTTTGTCTAATAATGACCCTTAGCACGATGGCTACTGGTTTGATCAGCGGAGGTCCCGTCTCATTGATATATGGAGCTATTGTAGCTGCGATTGGCTCGATTTGTTCCGCCCTCTCTCTAGCCGAATTGGCGTCTGCGTGAGTCCAAACAGGAAGCTTGAGGGAAACACCTTGGAGTTCTACTAATGCTTGCTGACCCTCAGTTATCCTACAGCTGGTGGCCAATATCACTTCGTTGCCCATCTGTCTGGCCAATCCACATCCAAGGTCACCAGTTATTTCGCTGGTTTCATCACGTCAGAGCCCCAACACCGTGTTATAGCTTATGCTAATACGTGATGTTAGCGCCTTTGGTTGGATCACTGTCACAGGCAGTGCCCCGTTTCTCGCAGGTACGATGATCCAAGGCCTACTTGTTCTCAACTACCCCGAAACATACGTTTACGAACGTTGGCATGGAACACTACTCTACTGGGCTGTGCTCGTTGTCGCAGCAGTCGTCTGCATTTTCTGCAGCCACATCCTTCCCTTGGTTGAGAAGATCTCGATGTCACTCCATATTGCTCTGTTTTTCGTCATTCTCATCGTCATGTGTGCCGTCTCACCTACCAAGAACTCTGCGTCATACGTGTTCACTACCTTCGAGAATAACTCAGGTTGGGCCAGCGATGGTGCTGCTTGGTGCATCGGTATGCTGAGTTCCTGTTACGTCTTGATCGGCTACGACGGAGCAACACATCTCGGTGAGGAGATGAGGAATCCGGAAATCGGCATCCCATATGCCATGGTTGGCAGTGTGGTTCTCAACGGCTTTCTGGGGTTCTGCTTCCTGATTGCGCTGTTGTTCTGCATGGGAGACATCACTGCAGCGTTACAAACCACAACCGGGTTTCCAATCATTGAGATCTTTTACAATGTCACAAGAAGTCATGCAGGGGCTTCAGCAATGTCGGCTTCAGTTGTTCTTATGGCTAGTCTAGCCACCATCCCGTTGCTGGCGTCAGCGGCACGCGTTATGTGGGCTTTTGCGAGAGACCAAGGTATAATCTCCCTCGATAACATTGCAGGACTTTCAAATTGACACTTATAGGTCTACCATTTTCCAACACTCTCTCTAAAGTCGAAAAGAAACGTGGCATCCCAACCGTAGCGATCCTCGTCACATTGGTCATCTTGATACTCCTCGGACTGATCAACATCGGCTCTACAACTGCCTTCAACGCCATCCTATCCCTTGCCGTAGTTGGCCTGCAGATATCATATCTGGTTCCTATTCTTCTTCTCATCTGGCGTCGTTTCAAAACTCCTGAATCACTGGCCTGGGGACCCTTCCGGCTTGGAAAAGCCGGTCTTTTTGTTAACATCATCGCTACGTTGTACTTGGTTTTCACAAGTGTTTTCTCGCTATTCCCGCCCTACCAACCTGTTACACCACAGAACATGAACTATGCGTCACTTGTGTTGGGAGCAACTCTCATCTTTGGGCTCGTGTATTGGTTGTTGTTTGCGAGGAAGACTTACGCGGGAGCGTTGAACGAGATGGATGGGGTAGCTGCGAATGCCACTGAGGTGGCAAAGGGATAGGGCCCAGGCCATTGCCAGGAGACTTCTGCGGTATTCAAATACAAGTAAACCTATGACTTTGGTAGTTGATAGTTTGGAGTAACCATTCATTTGTTTGAAGTGTCGGGCGTCGTGAGCGATATCGTCGCTAAGTAACTCTCACTTCGCGTATCTCGTAAGACACATCATTCGGTGGACAAATTTGGTACCGAGCGCCACTCTGGAGGATTTAGGACATCCAAAGATATTTCACGTAGTGAAATAATGCTGAGGGGTGGCACAGTAAGACTGTATTGATGAACAAAGTCGACATTCATGAGGTCTAGGGTACCACGTGATCATGCCGACCTTCGGATCCACATGAGCTCACGTTCTCGATGAGCGAGAGCCAAACACCAGGTCAAGACATCCCTCTTCAACAGGGAGACCGATATCGCATTTAACGCCCGACACCGAATAACGAGAATGCCATCGATGGCCCGTTGAGTTGACCTCAATGGCGTCGCAATCGGCTATCGCAGACCCCCGCAACAATGTATAACCGCGACTCAAGGATAATGCGCAAGCTCCTCGGCAAGGCTGCGACCGAGACCCCCGCAGGCGATTCAGTCAACCTTTCGATAACAAGCGCACCCGCTTCTACAATCTCAGCCTCGTTTCGACCGCCGAAGTCGCAAGATGCCGTATATAGAGCCGGTGTTCCAATATTGGCCCTCGATGTCTCCCCCGATCGAAGAGCCGCCGTGCTGGCGGGTGGACATATCCTGAAGACAGTGGTACTCGACGATCCTCATAACTTCAACTTCAACTTTCGCGAGGGTGTGGACTTGAGAGCTGCGATTACTGCTCAGCCCGCTGGATTGAAGGGTAACCAGGCGGCGGATCAGCTCAGCATTCGCGATGTTAAATGGCACGGTGGTTCTACAATCTTCACGGCTTGCGCGAATGGCAAGATCTTCGCATACGATGTTGCACGAGTCGGATCTGGCGCGGCTGAGCCATTGGAATACATGCAGATGCAGGAAGATTCGCGCCAGGTTAACACCCTTGATGTCAATCCGCACCTCAAGAGCTGGCTTCTTTCAGGCAGCCAAGATGGCATGGCGCGAGTTTTCGATACAGCGGCACCTCTCCAAGGGCGATCAGGCGGCATCACCTTTCGACAACGATTCGCACCTCTGAAGTGTATCGACTCGGTCCGGCAAGTTAAATGGTCTCCAAAGGTTGGTCACGAAATGGCATGTTGTACCGAGGGTGGAGTGGTGCTCAAATGGGATGTCCGTCAACCAGCAAGACCATTGCTGAGGATCAATGCACATGAGAAGGCATGCGCTTCTATCGCATGGCACCCAGATGGAAACCACCTTATCAGTGCTGGCCGAGATACAAAACTCCATGTGTGGGATCTTTCGAGTTCAGCCGATAAACGACAGAAGCCGAAATGGTCTGTGACAACACCTGCGCCGATCTGGACAATCGCGTGGCGGCCCGGTTTGTGGTCTGCTACAGCACAAAATAAGCGCGTAGCTCAAATAGCAGTGTCCTATGATGATAGCAGCTCTCGTCGATATGGTACTTCGGCAGTGCACATCTGGGACCTGGCTCGACCAACCATGGCATATAAAGAAATCGAGAGGTTTGACGCTTCGCCAGCTGCTCTTCTCTGGCAAGATCAGGATATGCTTTGGACAGTTGGTCAAGACGGACTGTTCGCGCAAAACGATGTCGCATATGCGCCCAAAGTCATTGATCGCCAGTCTACCTCATCTATGGCATTCTCACCGAAAGGTGATGTTATGATGTTCCTTGACGAACGATCTCATCAAAGCAGTCGACCTCGGCCTCCCGTCACACACCATGCTGAGATAGTGCCCCGTGGTCCCTATGGATCGAGCCCAAGTGCCCCCATGCTGAGCATCAGTCGCAGCGATTCAGAGGAGGATGTCGTTGGCAGTTTTCTTGGTCCCAGACGTCGGACGAGTCGAAGGAAAGCAGGACGATCCACCAATTTGAGCACGACGCCACCTTCTGGATCTGGCCTCGATGATAACAAGCCATTCCTGGCGCTTGACCAAGCCATCAATGTCACAGGTGTCTTCAAGACTCAGCAAACAATGGCTTTCGGTCGACTGCCTGCTGTAAAAACAACACAAATCTACCAATATCTCTCAGGATTATACCTCGAGACGCTCCATCAGGAGCTCCCATACGTTAAAGACGGCAAGCCGCTCAATGAACGAGTCGGTGTTATTTTAGAACATTACGCTCGCGCAGCCGAAAGTGTTTCGTACTTCCGATTAGCCCAGACCTGGCGCGTTCTAGCCTACACGGTCGGCCTACTCCTCGATCGCCGCGCTCAATACCATCTTGACGTCCGTCTCGGACGCTTCCAGAAGGTGAAGATAGAAGAGAGAAAGGGAAGTGGAATGCTGAAGCCCGTTGACTTTTATACTGCTAGTCGAACCCCCGGCGACGAAACGCCCAGACGTCCTTCTGGAAAGTCAGGGCTCGGCAGCCGCTCTCTGAGCACTCGATCCCTCCTTGCGATGGGCTTCGAGAGCACGTCCAACGTCCCAACTCCGCTTGCGCGACCGGCTGACGCTCCAGATAATTCGAAAGAGCATGCACAACAGGTTGGCAAGAGACTTGCGGCCGTCACGGAGCCTGATGAACTTAGTCTTGGGCCTGGCATAAATGACAGGTTCGAAGACACCCCCCGAAAGCGGCTCGACTCGGTTCCCGTCTCTGATGTCAGCCATGAAAGCGAGAGCTCACAGATATCTAGCACTGAAGGATACGACTTTTACGACGCCGAGGTCTTGCTCAAGGCCCTCGATGTTCCTCCACCTAAGAAGAAGGAGCCTCTATCGTTGGATTCCACAATTCCAGAGGTTCAGAGGGTGACGCGCCATGATTCGGACGAGAGCTTTGCTCAGATGTTTTCGACGTCTGATGCGACCAAGAAACCTTCGGCTTCGACACCGAGAGGCACCGGACCATGGCGATCGAGTCTTGCGAGACATGCCTCGGACATGGAGAAGGATAATGAGTACCCGAGTCACATACGCGGCGAAGAAGTTCAAGTAGATACGCCGACGGATTCACCCCAGCCGCGACCACATAGTAAGAAGTCGCCGACCGACTCCCCAGAGGATGTTTTCTTAATATCTCAAACCACAATGGGGACCGATGATTCGTTCCCGTCGCAAACATCAGAGCCCCTACAATCTGAACCGTCACCCCCCAAGATTGTCGCGGAGTCACTTCCAGCGAAGGAAGACTCCCCGCAGCCACAAGTACTTGTTCCAGCAAGTCATCCCAATCGATCCAACAGTCCTGCCAAGGACCTATTTCCTGCGCAGAAAGATCTACGGCCTCACATTGTTGAGACAGACTTTCTCCCATGGGACGATGATCCTTTATATCCCTTCCCGACTACTGTGTCTGGCGAGAGCCCGATTGTTTCACCACTTGATCCCTACACTTCTATCACAGAGGCCTTGCACTACGAGTCGCGAACTTCTGCTGTTAATGCTTCAGCCATCGTTCTCCTTCTCAAGCCTTTAGTACCCGACTTCGTGATCGACTATCACCAAGCGAATGCAGTCTTGCGACAGCACCACTCGAGACTGATGCAAATGGGTCTCTTCATTGAGGCGTCGCTCCTACGGAACTTGTGCATCAAAGGATGGCCAGAAGGTCTACCTCAATGGGGCGAAAACTACACAGCAATCTTCACACCAGCACAACAGAATGGAAAGGTCAGCTTCCTCTGCTCCGCATGTAAGAAGCCAAGGGAACTTGATCCCAAAGATGGCCCCGAAGCCATCTGGACATGTGAGAGATGTCGCACTATGATGGCGCCTTGCGCTGTTTGCGGGCATCGAGAGCCAACACATGCCGAATTCGCGCCTGTGGAACTACCAACCGCCTTGGGCTCTCCAGACACCTGGCTTTCCCAATGGTGGTACTGTCCCGGCTGTGCGCATGGTGGTCATGCCTCCTGCCTTACAGCATGGCACGCTGTTCTCGATCAGCCAGACTCTAGCGGTTCAACTACCTTCAGCGATGGCTGCTGTCCCCTCGATGGCTGTGGACACGCCTGTCTTCCCGGCCGATACCGCGGCGAGACCAGCACTGCACGATCCGACGAGATCGGACGTGCGACTGTAGAGAAGACGAGGGCAAGAGATGAGCGTGGAGCAAGCAGTAGCAGACGATCAAGCCCTCGTGCAGGTATGGATCGATCTGTCAAGAGTGATGGCAATGATATACCGCAGAGTAGGGCTGTTGGTATGGCGAGGGATGCTTTGAATAAGGGAAGTGGAGGTATTTTGAGCTCGAGTCCTGGAAGGGCTGTTGTGACGGGAGAAAGGGAGAGGAGGAAGAGCGTCAAGTTTGCGGGCACTGATTGATAGAGCTACGGTGGACAGTGTTGTGCCTCGGGTTGTTACTTATAGCATGGCGTTTGGACGTGGAGTTATCCGTGGGCAGTGCAATTTGGTCAGGGGGAGAGATCATGGCGTTTTAGCTACAAGATGGTTGTTGGATGTCCTCTGTTGGAGATGTGCATAGTTGAGCGATGAAAGGAATTACTAAGAAGGAACATTTAACTGCATAGTTTAGCAACTAAGTTCTCATTATGAAGTATCATCTTAGGCAGCAGTGAGGGCTTTGAAGTTTATTGCCCATATATTTGAGATGTGTTTGCCTTTGTGCTGGGCTTCAAAGCCTCTTTTAAGCCCTCAACCTTATTAATACACGAGAATAATACAGGTCGGACGACGTATCATCTACCCTAGCTCAAGGACCGGTTTTCAGAATTTTGATCCAAACTCATACGAGACTCGTCGCACTTCCGAACGATCTGTTTACCTTATCAACGACTAATCACCATCGTATCCTCCTCAGACAGTCCCATTTCTCTTCTCAACTATCTACACGCTCGAATATTGTTGAGAATATGGATGTCTCTGACTTAGAGTCACTTACACGCAATATGAGCACAGGAACGTGTTATCTTGAGCCTTTCCCTTTCTTTCATCATGCTGAACGTGCTCTAGTACATACTGATACTCGTCCCATCATTGTGTTGGGTCACTCTGGCGTTGGCAAGGGTACTCTGATCCAAAGGCTGAAGGATAACCATCCGACCGTCTTTTCTTCGGCTATCTCGCACACAACACGCCAGCCGCGACCTGGCGAGGCTGAGGGAGTCGCCTACTTTTTTCGCTCCCCGCCCGAGATTCACACTATGATAATGCGGAAAGAGTTCGTCGAACATACCTATTTCAGCGGCAACTACTATGGCACGAGCAAGAAAGTCATGGCTACACTGATGAAGGAGGGGCTGACTCCCATATTGGACATTGAGATGGAACGCGTCAAGGCGATGAGATCTTCAGGCTTGGATGCTCGCTATGTCTTCCTCAAGCCCCCGAGTCTCGAGATACTCGAAGTCCGACTTCGGGCCCGCGGAACAGAAGATGAGGCAAGCATATCGCAGCGTTTGGCACAAGCCAAGCTCGAGCTTGAGTTTGCAGAGACTGGAGTGCACGATATAATCATCGTCAACGACGATCTTGATGAAGCGTATCGACAGCTGGAGGACTTTGCTATTCATGCTTCAAAGAAACGCAAAGCAGGTAGCATGTGCTGATTGATGTCTATTTACATATATACTCAGGTTCTAATGCTAGTGTTATGACAAAATGGCGTTCTGTCTTCAGTTCGGAACATTTCGAGAGATAAATAAGGCCTCTTAATCCCAACATATACAAATATCCTACCCAATGGTCTGAAAGGAGATTCTATCTGCTTGACTCCTGATATGTAAAGTTGGACTTTCATGCCGCCGTGCAATCACGTACAAAGACCCTGATATGAACTACCGCTCATGCCATACGAACCGAGCGAGCGGCGCCACGCATTGTACAATGTTTCTCGCGAAGGGAAACGCGAGATTTGTGTAATAGAGCGGATGTAGCAGCGAAGGAGTTTACATAAGATCTAGAGCTCATCTAGGTTTTGGCTTAGTTTCGTCCCTAATCCATCTGCCCATCCAGCGTCGATTGATCTCCTTCGCTTCTTCCACCATCCCTAGCTCAAGCAACAGCTGAATAGTACCTCTAGCTGCCGAGTATATAGCTGAGCTAATCCAAGCCTGCGTCGGGGCCGTATGCTCTCCAATAAAAATAGTGTTATGTTCAGTCTGATGATACGCTGGGATGTAGAGGTTATGCTGCTCAACATCAGGACGACACCACGAGGTCGCAGTATGTTCATCTTGTAACCAGCATAGTCTCTCATAATCGCCCGTGTAAAGCTCGCGCGCTTGCTCCCCATGAAGACTCACGATTGCGTCGAGCACTGTTTGAACGTGCTCTTCATCAGAGAAGCTGACGTAGCGATCACTCCAATCTCCACCACGGTAGTGTGTAATTAGTCCAGGTCGCGACTCGTTCAATCCGTAGACGGGATAGTATAAAGCACCGATGGGTCTACTCTCGGGAATAGAGTAACCACCCAAGATAGGTCGCTCGCCCTTCTCCCAGAAACGTTCGGAGAAGAGGAGGGAGACTTTACAGGCTGACTTAAAGCGAAGGCCTGCTTCGCTGATTGCGCGACCGAGAACGGATGAGAATGAGGGTAGAGCCATGAAGCGGGTCATTGTGAAGGGAACTGCCATGATGGTGTAGTCATAGTCCTTGGACTCAAACGTCCGGTTCTTGACTCTGGGATACCACGAGAGTCTTGTTTGAGTCTGGCCATCTTCGCTCTTGACAGATTCAAGCTTTCTGATCTTGCGATTGAGAAACAAACGGTCGGAAACATGAGGGATGAAAGCATCAGTGAGCCGATTGAATCCTCCGTCAACGCACTTCCACTCCGTCTCGCCCAGTGAGTCTTGAGTCCCATCTAGTGCGAGATTTGAGTTGTGCACCATTTCATCCCAGAAGACATCGTAATCCGTCGCAGTCCATATCGCATCAGTGATGTTTTCGCTGGCATGGAAAGCTTCCCTCATCATGCACTGTTCGCTCCGGTCATCATAGCCCTGGCTCATGACGAACTTGTGAGAGCGCCAGACATCGGCTTGGATGGCCTTGAGCATAGTTTCGTTCTTGAGGATCTCGTTCATGCGGTGCTTTGTTTTGTTGTATTCGGTTGATACCATAGCTGGCGGTTTCGCGAGGCTTGAGTTCGCATGGATGTCTGCTCTTGTTGGAATTCTGCCATCTTGATGGCGGCCAGTTCCCCAGGCAATAAGCTCATTAGGATGATGCTGAATCCAAGGGATAAAGTCGACTTTCCACTTTGAGTCATTGCCATTCATCTCATTGAGAGTATCGGCCAATTGGAAAGTCAACCGATGTTCCGTATACTCATGCGTGGAGTTATCGCTTTTATACGTAACGGTATACGGCAATCTCATCGGACCCATCTCTGCAAATTCCTGAGTACCGCCGACAAACTTGGTCCTGAAACGTCCGCCAACTCTGTCACTAGCTTCGATGATCTCCCAGTTGTGAAGACCTATGCTATCTAGCATGAGAGCGGTGGTGAGTCCAGATACACCGCCTCCGACAATGGCTATGGAGGCGTTGGGAACTTTGGAGACTGAGGTGCAATTGAGCTTTGCGACATCGTCAAACCAGGCTCCGACTGAGTCGAAGTTTTGCATCTGAGGGTTGTCGGCACACAAATGGGTTTGTCGGTGATCTTTTGGTGGTAGCTTGCTGCCATGTACGGTGCTCAAACATGACAGCACGAGAATTGAGACCCTCCACAGCTTATCTGTGAACTTGGCCATGCTAGATTCCCTCAGAAGGCTCTGAAGACGTAAAAAGAGGTTTCAAGTTGGCGGATGAGGGCTGAATGATTTGGGAAGTCCATCGAGCTATAAGTATCCACACCCTGTGCCGAACCCCAACATTGCGAACCACACAGCTGCGATAATTCATGTCTACCTTGATGGCATGTATTGCATCTTCCAATATTAATTATTCGCATCGCTGGATTGCAGATGACCACGCGGTTCCATAGAATATGCACGGCAGTTGCATAAGTAAAAGAAGATGGGACCTGATCTGCATGGAAAAGACCCTGATGGCTTGGCGCCAACCCTATCAAGGGCACCATCACCGGGCCACAGTATCGAGTTCATAGTAACGATCAATAAAATCCGCAAAATATGATAGTTCCTACAAAGAAAAGCTCATATTCCAAGGTCGCAGTGCAGCCAAGCTCCGTCGCAGTGGAGCTGTCTCTCCGGGTTCATGTGAGAGGCAGCCGTGCACAAGACTTCAATCATGAGTTAGGAAAATATTTAAACAAGCTCAGGATAGATTAGGCTAAATTGTGACAATAAAAGTCAGTTTAGGATCGTATAAGATAAGCTTAGTAGAATCTCTGTTGAAAAGACTTTCGGCCTGGATACAGAAGCGGGACACGATTGTGGTGAATTGACCAAGACACTAAATATCTATGTATGTGTATAAAGAAAATGTTCAATCTAGTTTAACCATAAAAGAAACTCTAACTCAGAATGCATCTCTACCGATCAATCCTACACTCTAGGTCCCCAAAGTCTCGCCCTCTCCGCCTCAAACCCGGCCTTGTCCTCCGCCGTAGTCTTCAAGAACCCAATCTCCTTCCAGATATGGATATACTTTCTCACCACCGTTTCCGAAACTGGCCCAACAGCCGAGAGAGACTTGGAGTGCTCAAGCGAATGCTTCACATCGAGAACAAGACCACCGCAGGCCATGCGTAGGTATGTGTCTTCGAGGAAATCCGCGAGTAGAGCAGCGGGGTTATCCTGCTGAGGAGCTTTGCGCACCATGTCGAGCCACTGCTTGAAGGGGACTTTGTTAGGGATGCGAAGGGCGTCAGAGAGGATGTTGTTGACGTCGCGCCATTGTTGCCCGATGGGGTTGTCGATGTGGTAGATTGGGTAAGGGATGCGGTCGGAGAGGATGAGATCGGTGAGAGTATCGGCGATGTCGTTGACCGGAGTCCAGTTGAGGTTTCCACCGACGTCAGGAAGAGCATTCAGAGTCTGAGAAGATTTGATGAGGAAGCCGAAGTGCTCCATTGGGTTCCAGTAACCGCTTGTCTTGGACCCAGCAATCTGACCAAGACGCACGACCATGGGACGGAAACGGTCGGTGAACTTGTGGAGAGTCTCATCAAGCATCCTCTCACAACCCCATTTCGCTTCAGCGTACCCGTTGCCGAGTAGCGAGTCAATGGTAGTTCTCTCCTCAGGAACAACGATCTTGCCGGTCTGACCAGCAGCCAGACCCCACTGTCCAACAACACCAATTGACGAAATCATCTGAAAGCTGAACTTGAACTCCGTGGGACGACTCGAAGCACACTCACGCCCAAGATCAAGAAGATTGCGGAAGACCTGGAACTGCGACTCGAATCCAGACAGAGGACGCTTCGCACTCATGGGCCAAGCATTGTGGATGATGTGCGTGACGAACTGGATCAAACACGCGTACTCACTATCCTTGACTCCAAGCCTGGGCTTCGAGGTATCGGCCTGGAAGATTCGCACCTTGGACTTGAGATGCTCTGGGAAGCGAATGCCCTTGTCTCTCATGGCCTTGTACTGGCGTGTTGTTGGGTCTTCTCTGTTGGGGCGGTTGAGACATACGATGGTGCGGACTTCTTCGAGCTGCGCGAGGGCGTAGACGAGATGGCTTCCCAAACCGCCTGATGCGCCCGTGACGAGTACGACGCTTTCGTTCTTGCCGAGAGGGGGACCATCTGGGTTCGAAGTGGGTGCTTTGAAGCCAGCGGTATACCTGTTAACGAGCTCAGTGATTGCTTGTTCGCGTTCGGCGATGTTAGAGGTGTCACTGTGGGTGATGACTGTTTCTTGCGCGACTGCTTCAGAGACAACAGGTGCAGGAATGGCAGCAGGTTTAGGAACCGGAGTAGCCAAACCCATCTCTCGCGCCAGCATAGTCTTCAGATCACCAACGGTCTGACACTCCATAAACAACTGCTCATGTGCAATATCCAGACCAAAAGTATCCTGGAACCGACTTGCAATGACAAGCGACAGAAGAGAATCAACACCACAATCTGCAAAGTTCGTCTCATCGTCTAAATCAGAGCGCGCAACACCACTCTCCCCAGAGATAATCTCGAGAGCGCGCTCAAACTCAACTTCAGCTGATTCGGCGAATTCTTGGAGCTCTGGAGTAGCACTTCCAGTGGTAGTCGTGTCACGACCTGAGTCACTAGCCGCAGAAGATGAACCTCCAGAGACATCTTCGTCTGCGCCGAGGAAGGTTCTCAGGTCTTTGACGGTGGGGTGTTCGAAGAATAGGGCGTTGAAGTCCAGATCAATGCCCAGTTCTTCCTGGAAGCGAGCGGAGATGGTGAGACCGAGGAGGGAGTCGATGCCGACGTCTGAAAAGGTTGTGCTATCGGTGAAATCCGACACGTCAATTCCGCTTTCCTCTGAGATGATGCGGATTGCGGTAGAGAACTTTGGTGGTTCTACCTTGACAGCTGGCTTGTTCTGGGTTGGCTTGGACGTGGAATCCTTCGTTTGCGAGGGAGTGTTTCGGGGCTTGTCTTGAGTATGGCGCTGAGGCTGGCCCTTTTTGCCGCTCTCAATTGAGAGGATTACCTTGAGGACTCTGCGCGGGACACCTTGAATCGCGATCTGACCAAAGAACGCGACAACTCTATCCTGGTCAAAGATCGTCACATCGCCATACCAGAGCTTGTCCGCTCCAGCATGCATTTGAGTATAAGTACTATACTCCTTCTCAAAGTCCAAAGGCTCGAAAAGCTCAAGCGATCCCCAGCCATGGTTCATGTAAACATCGACGTCAATATCTGTGTGATCATTGCAGTTCATAGAAAAACCACAAGACTGAGTAAGAGCGTCGATGACGGCGGGATGAGTGTGGAAGTCACCGTCGCGCTTGACCGTACCGAAGCTGATCTTGCTGGAAGCTTCGAGGGTTTCGCTGTTGAGGACGACTTCGTCGATTGCGCGGTAGTCGTCATGGAAGCGTGCGAGGGGACGGATCATGCGGTAGGCCATGGGGCGGTTGAAGCGTGCGCTTTCACCGGTGGTAATTTGGTTGCGGAGATTCTGCATCTTCTGCTTGGTGGCGCGGGCTTCGCTTTGAAGGATGTCTTGATGGCTTCGGTCCTTGAAGCGGAGTACACAGGCGGAGTGCTCTTGCAGATGACTCTTGCTCTGTTAGGTTGTCAGCATACGCACTAATATTGAATGATAAATTGATACTCACATCGAAAGACATGAACTTGATTGAGACTGATCGAGATGACCAGTCTGCCTCAGCATGGGCTTGAATGGGCTGGCGAGATCCATCACCACGGAGGATCAAAGCCTTGGACACGGTCATGTCCGAGACCACAACCATATCATCCTTCTGCTGTGGCTGATACCTCTCAAGTAGATACTTGCCCAGAGTCAATGCGATGTCAGCATAAACCGATGGAGTGCAAAGAGGAATCCCATCGACCTCATGACCCTGTACAAGCGGACTCAAGTCTTTGCGAGCAATATCTGCTTCAACAACAATATGAGTATTCTTGGAATCGCCACTCTCTTCCATAACACTATGAATGGTAGTACTCTCAAGTTTAGAAACATTGTTGATGACCAGAGGAGGATCGCCCTTTCGCAGCGTCCAGTCATTGACGTACTGGATCCAGTACTCTTTAAGATCCCAGCTATAAGCTGGAAGATCGACGACTGTGTGTGCTCCGGGGAAGTTACTCTGGTAATCAGCCCAGTTGATACTAGCACCAGCGTCGTAAAGGCTCTTGAGTGCTGCGGAGAGCATGTCCCATGGTGCTCGGCTACGCTGGAGTGAGGCGACACAGGTGATCTGTTGACCAAGGGTAGGCTTGACCATGCCTGAGACAGCTGGGTGAGGACCAACTTCGAGGACCATGGAACGATCGTTGATATAACCATCGCGGTAAGCAATGGTCAATGCGGTGAGCATGTTGACAGGCTGTCGAGAGTGTCTAGCGAGATATGAGGCATCAAAAGGATTCTCATTCTCGACGACTGTACCTTCCAAGGGACACAGAACTGGAATTCTGGGCCCAGAGAACTTTACTTTGCTGGCGAGCCTCTCGATGTCGGACACCACTGGCTCCAACTGAGATGAGTGGAAAGCGTAGGGGACCTTGAGAAGAGTGGTCTTGAAGCTAGCCGCCGTGAGCTGCTCCTTGACCTTGGCGATCTGCTCATTCGGGCCAGCAAACACTGTCTCAATGGGAGAGTTGATACAAGCAGTCTCGTACTCTTGTCCCTTCAGAGCCTCGGCGATCTCCTCCTGGGAACCCTTCACCACAAGCATGGCGTGGGTACCACGAGTACACTTCTGCTCAAGAAGCTGAGCTCGACCTCCAACAAGGAATAGTGTATCAGTATCTGACAGAACTCCAGCGATGTTAAGAGCAGCATACTCGCCAAGACTGTGTCCCACAACAGCAGTTGGAGTAATTCCCCACGACGCCCAAAGTTTGCTCAGCGTAATCTGAAGACAAACACTAGCAAGCTGAACAAGCGAAGGCGCAAACTTGCTAACATCGGGCTCATCAGATTGAATGAAAGGAAGCATAGAAGGGAATCCCAAATTCTGCGCAATCTGATCCAGTGAAAGAAGCTCATTGCGCACGAATTCGTTCTCCTCAAAGAGCTGCTTTCCCATTCCCGGGTACTGAGCTCCCTGACCCGTGAAAGTGAAGACCACCTTTGGTGCTGCCTTGGGCCGTGTGACGCCAGTGTTGTTCTGGAGAGCTGTTTCGATCTTGGAGCAGATTTCTTCGGGGGTTGCGCCGGGGACAAGAACGCGGTGTTGGTGGTGGATGCGACGTGCTGTGGTTGTGTAGGAGAGCTCGGCGAGGGAGATGTGTGAGTTTGTGCTGAGGAACTTGAGCATTGAGCGCATGTTTCCTTGGAGAGAAACACCACTCTTTGCAGTGATGGCTATGGGGAATTGGACGCGAGAGTCATGGTTGACAATAAGTTGTTTCCTTGGTGGTGCGTCCTGGATCAACAGAGCGGAGTTACCTCCCGCAGCACTGAAGTTGTTGACAAAGACACGTCTAGGGTTGGTCTCTGTGCCTTTCTTCCATTGCGTCGGCTCCAAAGCAATGCGAACGTTTCGTTGTTCAAGATCAGTGGGGAAGCGATGGTTGATCTTGTTCTTGATGCCGCAGTGTGGAACGATGGTGTCCTTCTTCAACATTTGAAGGACCTTGATCACACTGCAGACACCAGAGGCAGCCTCACCGTGGCCGATATTTGCTTTCGCTGAGCCGATGTAGAGCTTCTGGGAATCTGTACGGGCGACTTTGCCGTCTGCTAGAGGAGGTGCGAAAGTCTCGAGGACACTGGACATCTCTGTGGCATCGCCAGCTTGAGTGCCTCTGTCATTGCGTGAGTAAGGACCATGAGCGGGAAAGGTGTAGACTTACGTTCCGTGCATCTCAACATAGCTAACAGAATAAGGATCAACAGCAGCCTCATTCAAAATCTTGTTAAAGATAACCCGCTGTGCACCAACATGCGGCCGCGTAATCGACTCCGACTCAGCAGAATGGTTCGTATACGCACCAAGAACAACACCCAAGATCGGATCATTCTCCGCAATCGCATCATCAAGCCTCTTGATAATAATAGTCGCAACACCTTCACCTCGACAATAGCCATCGGCGCCATCGTCAAAGGTCTTGCAGTTACCTGTGCGCGACAGAAAGTGTCCCCTGTCAAGACCAGCGTGATAATCAGGGTTGGTCAAGACATTCGTACCGCCGGCGATGGCAGTGTCGACGTCGCCTTGCCAGAGGGCGTTACAGGCTAGATGGATACCGGCTAAGGATGATGAACACGCTGTGTCGACGGCGTAGCTAGGGCCGCTGAACTTGAAGAAATAGTTGATGCGGCCGGGAATGAAAGCTCTGTTTCCGCCGGGGATGTAGTACGTGTCGATGTTCTGGGCACTGTTTGTTTCCATCCAGTCATTGCTGGTGACACCATAAAAGATACCAACACGATCAGGTCGAGTAGAGGGCGTAGCATCAGGAACGATGCCAGCTTGTTCGATTGCTTCGTAAGCTGTCATGAGAGCCAACCTCTGCGCGGGATCAATCTGAGGAGCTTCTCGTGGTGAGATGTTAAAGAAGCGAGCGTCAAACTCGGAGGGGTCATCTAGCCAGCAACCAAACGGCGTAGCGCTTGTGTTCTTTCCTGCGCCGGTAGGGTCAACGTGTGTTTGCTGATCCCAGCGAAGACCTGGAACGGGCTTGTGGACGTCGACACCTTTGTAGAGAAGATCCCAGTAGGCTTCGTTATCTTTTGCTCCGGGGAAGCGACCGGACATAGCGACGATAGCAAGCTTTGGCTTGTTTGTGCCGGCATCAGGAACTCTTGGGACATTGGTGGGTTGGCTAGGCATGGTGGTTTCTGGAACGAGATAAAGAAGAGATGTCTTCTTGAGAGCAGTGTAAATCAAATGCTCAGCATTCGAACCAATCGACTGAACACTAAACTGCTGAGATCCAGTAGTCTCAAGAGCTGCTTGAACATCATCAAAGATCGAACTCCATCGAAGAGGGTGAAGGAGAGCCTGAGCGATGGCATCTTCCAAGAGTGTCGCGAAGCTTCGCTCTTCAGGCTTGGAACCCGTGCTGGAGAGAAGAGGAATCTGTTCAGATGGTGACACAGCCTTGTTGAGCATCAAGCCATCAACGATCCGTCGAGCGTCTTTCTGAGAGTACAGATGTGGTGCATGGTAAGCACCATAGACGGGGATACTCTTAGCGGTGATGGTCTTGGAAGCAAGGCAATGCGTGAGATCACTAAGACGCTGGGGCGGGCCGCTAACAGTAATACCATTTGGTGCATACGCACTGATGTAAGGCATACTAGTCAAGACGCCTCCATCCTGAACGATCAAATCAGTATCCAATTGTTATCTCAATGTGTTGTGTTGCGTTACTTACTTGGGCATCCCAGAACTCCTGGAAAGCTTTTGCTGCCTTTTGGCCAGGGACAAGAAGAGCCCAGCTCCTGTTCAAGTCTTGGCTTGGATCGATTCGTCGAGCTGTATCGGTGACGAGAAGGCCTGTTCGAAAAGCTGCGACGACGGATGAAACAGCCATGGGGATCAGGTCTGCGGTAAAGCTGCTGCAACTGACAGCCGCAGCCGCGAAAGCGCCGGTACAGAGACCAACGACCCTTGTATTCTGCGCATCATATGAAGAAATACCTGCTTGACTACTGAATGTTAACACCTCCTCAAGGCAGAATTGAACTGTAAGCGACGTACCTAATGAACGTACCAAGCTGATACAAAGTCGTCATCGCCATATCAAGCGCAATACATCGCGGTCCGCTCTGATCCCAAAGCAGAAGATCCTCCTGGCACGTAAACCGCGGAAGATCCTTTCTAATACTATAGGGGATTTTGAAGAGCTCAGCGCGGAGGGCATTGTAGCTCTGGTTCAGAAACTCATGGAGAAAGAGATTGTCGCGCTTCTGAAGGAGGTGCTGTAAGTGAGGTTGGACCTCGAAGGTTTGGTCTCCGAAGAGATACAGCTTCATGTGGGATGCCATGACAAAGGTGTTGAATCTTGTTGATGTTTCGGTTGAAGTCTATGATGTTTTGTCAATGGTTAGTTCTCTCTTGGCTCTCGATGAGACGATGCCTCCTTTATCTACCTTCATATCACTCCATTCCTTCCATTGACCTTGTCTCGCTGTCATCTTCTATCGGAGATCTTCATCATCTTACTCGGAGTCCGGCATATCAGACGCTCAATCTTCTGAATGCCGTCATCACGGCCCCCCATTGCCGACGTCAACAAAGAGGTTTCATTCCCGACACTGAGCCTCATCATATCCAGAAAATGCACGTCTGACCCAAAACAGACATATTACCGTTATTGTCGTACAGAATATAAGCCATGTTCCTGTATCAAGACTTGTAAGACGGCGTCCGAGTCTCGGGAATCACGTCGGTTCAGCTCGGGAACTTCACGGCGACTAAGGACTCTCGATCCCGTCATCTCTCATAAAGCCTGATCCTATCGCGTTCAACGTTCTATGTCTACACTAGCAGTCAATATTCAGTGCAAGATGGACAAGACGGATAGAGACGCTGTCATTGAGCATGCTACGCAGGTTAAACACCTCGTGCATGATCCCCACAGCTTCCTCACTGAACTGGTCGCGCAGCAACAGCAGTATCACTGCATCGCCTGGCTTTGCCACTTCGACATTCTCTCCAACATTCCCCAGCCTCCAGACTCCATCACATACTCTGATGTCGCCACCAAGGCTCAAGTCCCGCTATCAAAGCTGCAGTCTGTAGCGCGCATGGTGATGACTACGGGTTTACTCTGCGAAACTAAAGATAGCAAGCTTTCTCACAGTACCCTTTCTGCACAATTCGCTACGAATGTTCATATGAAGACGCAGCTTCTTCATATCTTCAATCAGACTGTTCCTCTAATGTCAGGCTTGATTCAAGCTACAGAGAAATGGGGCGAGACGTCTGCGACTAATGAGACGGCTTATAATATTGTTCACAACACTGAGCTGTCGTTCTTTGAGCACTTGAAGACGCGGCCTGATCTCAACGAGGGCTTCCAGGCTTACATGAAGAGCCGTGCTGTGTCGCACACGGGCTCTAATGTTGAGCATCTCCTGAACGCTTTTGACTGGAAAGCCTTAGGACAAGCGCAAGTCGTTGATGTAAGTTCCCATCTCAATTCCCCGCGGCTTCATGCTGATGGTATACAGATTGGTGGAAGCAGTGGCTCAACATCTGTAATGCTGGCGACGGCATTCCCGTTACTCAATCTCGTCATTGAAGATCTCCCAGAGCCCATTGAGAACGCCAAGGCTCGCCTGTCTGCCTTACCATCAGACATCAAGTCTCGTATTGAGATCAAAGCCTACGACTTCTTCACTCCCCAGCCCGTCAAGAACGCTGATGTGTACCTCTTGCGCACCATTCTTCACGACTGGCCGGATGCCGGTGCCATCAAGATCCTTCAAGGCATCGTCGCAGCCATGGGTCCGTCCAGTCGCTTGCTGATCGTGGACATGGTGTTGCCAAAGCCAGGTTCTGGCTCGAGGACCTTTGAAGCAGCGCTTAGACAGAAAGATCTTACCATGATTCAGTGCTTCAACGCTCAGGAGCGTGAGGTTGAGGAGTGGACTGCCCTGCTTGCCCAGGCTGATCCGAGACTGAAGATACAGGCGATTGAGAGGCCTGCTGGGAGTGAGCTGTCGGTGATCGAGGCTACGCTTGATGAGTCTCCGGAGCAAGCGGCGTGGTTTTAGACAACTTTATAGACAAGACCACATCGCGGTCTTTGCTCCCATACTTTTTCTTCCCTCGCTGGTTGTGATACTTGTCCTGATGTTCCAGAGATTAATTGACGGCAAGTCAACCCTGAAAGTCTGTCCCAAACTTCACCGGGTTCGACGTGTTGTTTCACTCATGCCTTCTCTCCCATTCTATGTCAATCCAGGTGGTTTTACAAAGATCTTATAACTTATGATTATATGAGGCCTAAATTTAGGATAGCATTATGATAACTTTAGGGCGGCATCAAGATTGTACAAGGTACTGGTACAGATCCAGGGATCGATAGAGTCGTCGACGTGGAAGAGGGCCTTACAACCGCGCAGCTTTGCAGTCCAACAATATCGCGTTGGGGTCACTCGTCAATCGCGATGCGATATTGAAGATACGATGAAGCATCACCAACTTCTTAAGCGTCACTTAGCAGTACGTAAACACACTCGATTGACAGTCTTCATCGATCTACTATCACTCTTACAAATCTAAGACCAATCCCCATCCTGAAGATCCTCTAGCTTCTGTCCCGCCTTGATCTGCTCCTGCACCTCCTTCATAGTCCAATGTCTATACTTATGCCCCTTTGGAAAATTCGTATTAACCAACGGAACCCGTCCCCTACTAACAACATGCGTCAGAGCCTCAGCAAACTTCTCATACGCATACGCCTCCGGATCATGCGACCACACCCACTTCGGGTATCGCGATCTAATCAACGCCGGATTCTTCATGATCGCATCCCAATCTGTGTGCTGCTTGAGCTGCTGGTTCACAAACCCCATTTTCTGTCCACAGCTGACTCGCTGAAAGCGTAACTTGTTGTACACTTTCGTAGCATTGGCGGCTTGGGACTTTCCGGCGAGTTGGAGGCATGTTGCGAGGGTCACGCCGTCTTCTATGGCTTGGGTTGCGCCATTGCCAGATGTGGGGAGGAATGCGTGTGCTGCGTCGCCGAGTTGGACGACGCGGCCGCCGGGGGATGTCCATTGTTCGTGGGGATCGCGGAATTTGAGCTTCCAATTCACTACGGAGCCTTTGGGCGCGGTGCGGATGAAGGCTGCGATTGCAGGATGGACGGCGTCGTTCTTCTCCATCTCAGTGATCACTTCTGCCGGGTCAATGTCTGGGATCCAGGACTCGCTGGCAGATTCAGCGTGCTGGTGTGTGTGTCAGTGGTTTGTCGGGAATTGGGGGTAGCTAACTTACGGAATGGATGAAGCTCCAGAAAGCGAGATCGTGGGTCAAACACATCATGTTGTGAGAACCATTTCTGCAAATGTCAGTATATCCTCTCTCATCGGCTTCAGGCAACTCACCCAAGCCAGAACTGCCAAATCGGCTTATCGCCAGGCTTGAAGTTCCACATCTCCCTGACCTTGGGATCCTTAAGCGCATGCTCAACAGGATAACCCGCACGGTAAATCGCTTTTCCACTAGTCGCCAACTGGTCCGGCATACCAGGAACAACAGTATTGCTCTTCGTCCTGAGCCCATCAGCAGCAACGACAATATCCGCTGTTCTCTTCTCCCCATTCTCAAGAACAACACCCCCAGCACAACCTTCAACATCCTCCCAGTACTCAACAACCTTACATCCCCACTCAACGTGAATGCCCACGCGCTCCGCCTGTTTCAAGAACGCGCGGTACAGCTTAATACGCGAATGAGCATTGACAGAGGGAAAACCACGACGACTCGGTAAATGCTCTGGATCATTGAACATAGGCGGTGCAGGACCCCAGATACGCTCGCCGGTCTGTCTATAGTAAGACATGTCGACGTCGTACTGGTTCTCCTCAATCTCATAGCCCATATCAGGCCAGTGGCGCAGAAGAAGGATGGCGCTGGGCTGGATTTGAACATTATCACCTGTCCAGACTGGACTGGGACTGCGGTCGATGATGCGAACGTTGTGTCCTTTGCGCCAGCATTCAAGGGCGCAGGTAATTCCGCCTAGACCGGCGCCTGCGATGAGGACGTTGATGCCGGTGGAGGGGTAGCGAAAGACTTGGAGGTCGATGCCTCGTTTGATGGAATCATCGAGTCTTTCTTGAGAAAAGGTTGGGCATTCTTGATGGCTCCCGTTGAGAGTGCCGTTTGGCTTCTCGTCGGGATTGTCAGCCATGATGGGGTGAGTGCCGTTTGTCTGTGTGCTTGCCATAGTTCCCAATTGAATTGAGTTAATGAAAAGAAAGTTGAGATAGGTTTGTCTGTAAAGACTGCGAGAAGGTGATCTTCTTGTGAGATTATGTGACGAGTCCTCTATTTGAAGCCAAGTAGACCGGCGATGCTTGGTGTTCTTGGCATCCTATTGTCAAGAACGCCACAGTCTTCAACTGTGTATGTACAACTTCAGTCCCCGAAATGGATCCCGAAGACATCCCCATACAGTCTCAATTACTTCTCTGTCTCATTTGAGTGCCTTGGCATACGGTCCGGCCTACGGACGTCAAAGTTGATCCGACTTGGCTCTCGCGTGTAAGCCAACATTGACACTCCGGATCAATGACACCATGACTGTGCTTATTATCTTCAAAGCATCATATCTCACAGCGAGGTAGATAGGCAGTGCGGCGTCGATTATACGAGGAGAAGTTGCTCTTTGTTTCGGGGTCCGAATCCCAATTTGGCTACATTTTTGTGTCTGTGCAACGGCCGTGGCGCCGGGACTTCGTTGCTGTCGACGCCATGGATCGATCCGTGCCTTAACGGTATCATATCTACGCCTCTTCCTTCACGGCTGCCGAGCTCCGGGAATTGGGTTGCTAGACTGGTCTCTTGCAGACTGGTGCGCCGCTAATGTAGTCAGAAGGAGATGCTCTGACAACGTCTGTTCCTTACGTGCGAGAACCAGGCACAGGCAGACGCTAGAGGGACACTTGACTGGAGAGATGTTGTGATAAATCTCAATTCTGTAGTCTTTCCAAATGTTCTGCTTTCGTCTGCATGGATACTCTAGCTATGTCGTGTCCGAAGGTACTTCTCATGGAGGCTCTATTCCTGGCGTGTCCGCGATCTTGTAGACATACTTCACCGCACTAGCCTTTCCGTTCTTCAAGTTTGTCAACCCCTTCTCTATCCCTCCCAAGCCCCCAGGCACAACCTCTTGCGGGTGTGCCTTGAACCATCCGTCCTCAAGCCCTCTACCGAAGTATATCGAAAGCGCCCGGGCGAATACCTTCAGATCTTCATGTACACTAGCTACCGTAGTGACCGACTTCTCAATGGTCTTTGGGATATCAGAATAGCTCTGTGCAGGAATAATGAGAGTGATCTTCCCCGTTTGGTGATTAAGAACATCGCAGATTGTCTGGTAGGAACCCATCTCCGACACAGCGTCAAAGGCATACTCTAGCTTTTCGCCTCTGAGGCTGGCCTTGATCTCTTGAGCGACTGTCGCGCGCCCTTTTCTGTAGTCAATGACTGTGTCGCCCCTGGATCTGTCAATCATTCTCTCGACGTGATCTTGCGCACGACCAGCGACGCAGATGAGAGGGTGAATGTTAGACTTCTTGGCCAGTTGGACTGCGTATGATCCAACGGCTGATGAAGCACCTCAGATCACAAGGGGTAGTTTTTGAAGGTCGGAGATTGGATGCGTTGGGTGTGGAAGATTGAGCTTTGCGTAGAGGGCACAAGCTGCGGTAAATGCAGCGAAGGGTATAGCAGCACCCTCTACAACCATGGTGTCAGCCATGAGACACATATTGGGGATCACAATGCTTACCTTGGAAAGAAGTGTGTTCAGGTAGATGAATGGTGGTGTATGCCCAGCTTACACCATACTCAGCGTAGCTCCCGCCAGGCTGCTTCCCCTCGTGCATCGCCGCGACGCGATCACCGATTTTGAAGTCAGAGACTCCCTCGCCAACCTCATGAACTACTCCAGCGTGATCATCGCCCTGGTTGATGGAGGCCTTACTTCCCCAATACTCAGGTCGTTTCCTTCAGAATGTCAGCCTGGGTATGAATGAGGCCGAGGGTGGTTTGGGGTGCTCACCAATCCTTGGGGTTACTGCCAGCGTATTCAATCTTGACAACAACTTGCCCCGGTCCCGGTTTCGGAATCTCACTCTCAATGATGTGGACTTTTGGTCCGCGCGATACAATCGCCTCTTTCATTGTGCTGGCCGCTCTAATGTGTGATGAGAGTGCATGAAGACGCTTCACCGAAGTGCGATTGCGCAAATGGGAAAACATTGCGATGAGATAATTCACCATCCATCTTTGTCAGTCCAGAATGACGGTAAAATTAGGCATCAAGGGCAGGCAAGAAAACTTAGGACCTCTTTTCTAAGTGATGAAAAGACTTAGGTAAGTTTAGCATATCTTAGCAAGCCTTTACACCAGTTTATTTTAGCACCCTGATTCAACTTCAGAAGTTTTCTTACTCCCTGGGGGCCATCAATGAAGCCGCATTCATTGCATCACATCGCATCGCGTCATGTTTCTCGACTTACACGGTCGGAGCTCGAGGGGCTAAAATCCGAACAGCGAATGTCAACAGCGAGAGGCCGAAAGAGGCGTAGCTTCACAGTGTCCGGGAAGCGGTTTTAGTGCCGAGGCGCGAGAATGATACAGCCAATGGATTTGACGTGAAACGTCTCACGGCATTCACGAGCTTACTCTAGGTGAGGCTGCTTATGCCCTAATTCCCGGCACGGGTAAATGCAGTGGATATCTGCTGCACTCTGATTTTAGTGTCTGGCGTCCTCTCCTGCATTCTCAATTGGATCTAGCTTCTTGAGGGGCTGCAGCGACTCAAGCTACTGCTGTTGACCCTTTTTCTTTTCGATGCCACTGACAACTGGGTGGATTACAATGGACGGCGTTTTTATAATCGAGACTTCAGACGATAATAAGAAGTATTTTCACAATGGAGGCGAATTTGACAGTGATGTAGTAATGTCTTGTGAGATTGATGCTAATTACCCTGCAACCCAGCCTCAACTATCTAAGACAGCAATGTCCCTCCCGTAGTCTCAACAACACTACCAGAAGTATTCTTGTTCTTCATCAAGTACAAATACGCCTCCACAACATCCTCAACCTTTCCAATCTCCCCAGTCGTCATTCTTCCCTTCAAGTGGCCAGTCACGTTATCCCAATACCCCATCTCCTTGACGTAGCTCCAAATCTCAGTGTCTGTTGGGCCCTGCGCAACGGCATTGACGCGAATCGGCGCAAGATCAACAGCCAAACCACGGATCATGCCGCGAAGTCCAGAGAGGTAAGAGTACATGATGGACCAGTCCTTAGAAACATGCTCTGTTGCACCACCAGTAGCGACGGTGAATGACGAAGAACCGCTTTCGTTCAAGTGCTTGCGGAGTTGCTGCGCGACAACAAGTGGTGCGAAGAAACGCACGGTACCAGCTTGACGAATAGCATCAAGAGTAAAGTCCTCCAGTTTTCCAACAGCGAGCTTGTCGCCTGCGGTGAAGACAACATGGTCTAGTTTCCCAGACTTGGCGACCTCGGTGAAAAGGTTCTCGACCTCTGAGGTGAGTGTGTCAGGTGAACCCAGGTTGCAGGGAAAGCCGTGAAGTTGAGCCTTGGCAGATTGGTTGTTCTCTTTGAGGCGCTCAATGGCGCTTGAGATCTTTGTCTGAGAAGATGAGGAGATAAACACAGACGAGGCGCCGTTTTGAATCGCTGCTTCTGCGACGCCGAAGCCGATTCCTGATGAACCGCCGATGACGAGGACGCGAGATCCTGCGAGCTTGGAAACGTATTTTCCGAGTGAAGCCATTTTGACCTGAGTTGTGTGTATGAGAGAGTGAGGGGTTATTGGTGGAGGAGGAAAAAGGTGAAGAGGAGAAGAAAGTTGTTCGCTGAGCAACGTAAATACGGCTTTTATGTCTTGGGTGGTATGGCTCAAGCAAACATGGCTTACATGGCTTGAGCTAAGACCTATTGTCATGGTGTTAGTCCCCTGCCTCCAGCCATGGCACTGTTTGATCGACCAACCACTCAGGATGACCCCTATAATGACAGAATATGCAGTGAATCAGAGGGGAGAATGTCTCGGAGTCCGGGACTGTTCCTTGCCTATTTTGTGTCTGTGTAACTTGATGCGTGCCTGATGAGTGCCCCGCTATATGCAGGACGACCAACACTTCTCGCGACTGTGTTGAAACGCGAGGCCGAAACAAGGATCAAATGCCTTCCTTTCCTATATCGTTTCGGGGATAAAAGGGAAACATAAATGAGGCTCAAAGTAAGAAATGATAAAACAGCTTGAAGCCGTTAAATTTGGCACATGCCCAAGGGCACTATCCATAAGCCACTACACAATTCGTCAACTGGCTTGATAATTATGATGGGTGCATCATAGAGTCTAGCCTTATCAGGTACATAACAGTCTTGGTATGATAGGCTGGCAAATCTGCCGCAGGATGTTTCCTCACTCGGACAACGCTGAGGAAACAACAGATCCTCACGTAAGATATTGTCCCAATCCAGTAACCCTGGCACCTGGCATTATGTAGAGCGGGAGGAATCAAGGTCTGGACCGGGTATCTGCCTCATTGTCTATGCATAAGCATCTTGATAAGTCTCACGATATCCATGCTGTTATTCCGCTAAAACGTAAGACATGATCAGCATTCCGCCAGGTATGCTTCGGCTTCCGAATTCCAGGCACGCATGCATCCGCAACTGCCAGCAAATTTTATACCAGAGAACATGGATACTGTAGCAGTATTTTATGTGACTCTGAAAGCTCGAAAATAAACTGGAAGAGGGGACACTCACCTGGAGCCATGTTGTATCACATGATACAGAATCACATGGAATATCAAGTGAGAAAGGCAAAACACGCGTAATCGGACCAGAGGTAATTTACTACGGCTGCAATGGCATAGGATATTATATCAACTGCTTTAACCATGGACGTTGTGGCGCCATGCGCAACTCGGCGTTCGGGCTGTTCAAAGGCCGTCTTCAACTCGCTTCGGGTTGTACCTGATGACGACAGTGAGGCTTAAGGGCTTACTGAATATACCTTCACTTTGAATAAGTACCGAATTCACCGCAAAGAGTAGTGTACAATTAAGTCAAGCGGTGACATCTGCATAGACTTGTTACAATGTATTGCTGGCGATTTATGGTGCGATATAGCTTTTAAGCATGAGATAACACAAAAGGAATGATGTAAATCAAAGCCTTGAACGGTTCATATACAATTAATAAGGTAAATAAAGTAAATATGATCATATCAACTCTCCTTGGCCCTTCTTAATCTTCTGGATAATTCCTTGCAATTCCTCCCTCATATTCGTCACAGCAACGACATGCCAATCCAACCCGCCATCATCCCCTCCAGCAAAAGAATCAAACGTCTCCATAACCTTCTCCGCCTTTCTCAACTCCCTCAAAACCACAGTCTTTTGCAGCGTAGCTTGATCCTCGTCATCAAGATCCAGCATTCCAAGTTGGATCTTCATAGGTCGTAGTTCTACTCCATCAGTGTGATAGCGTGCTGTGACCGCAACTCTGTACCAGAAAATAACCTTTGATAAGATTGCGCTGTGTAGCATTGCGATATGGGGGTTTCGTGCGCAATGACATTTGAGGAGGGGAATGAGACTTGTGAGAGCGGTTTTGTTGACGGATAGGACTGTATCGATAGATGGTGTTGAACAGGTTTGTTTTTGGGGCATGGGGGTAGATTTGCAGATGCTTTGGTCTGCGTTGGTGTTGCAGTGCAGCGATCTCAACACTTTGAGAGCTAGGGCCTCACAATCGTGAGAGTGTATGGCTGTTGGCTCCGGTGCCTTGATCGACAGTATTGGCTCCATCGATAAACTCAAATCAGGTGATACCATACCGCTCGACTGAGACGCAGTGGTATCCGACACAAAACCCAGCGACTTCCACGGATCAACCCAAGATATACCATTCCCATCGTCAAAGTCAACAGTGACGTCGACGCTGCGTGACGCCCAACTATCCAGCATCTCAAGATCACCAGCCGAGTATATACTGTAATCCTCCCACGCATTCGTAAACTGCGTCGTAAGACTACTATCCTGTGCATTCTTCCTGTGTCGCGCCCGTTTGCCATGTCGCCGCGAAGCGCTGTAGCAGCACTCTTTCGCCTGCCCGTTGTCCTCGCAGCGCTCGCAGGGGTGAGTCCTGCTGCAGCGGACCTTGGCTGTCGTACAAGCGTCGCAAGCGAGACGCAGCCGGACGGGCTTTGCGGACCGAGTCTCGGACATGATTTTGTTAGAGATTGGCGAGGTTTTTGGCTTGTGGTTTGGGGTTTTGAGTCGTTGTTTAATACATATATGAAGCACTGTGGTTGCCTTTCCTTTTTTGCCAATGGGTAATTGGGAGCCGCGTGAGTGGGAGGGTTGGGAAATAGACGCCATCTGTGGTCTAGTCTAAGCCCGTCATGTCGGCGTGGTAGGACGGTAAGCGGCTGGCTGACAACCTTTTGCCTATTACAAAGGATTTATGACCGTTATACTATCTACGCTGACCAGTCGTATTATTGGAAGCTCCTCCAAAATCCTTTGCTACCGTGTATTCTTCAACAAGCCCTGAATCACCATGTGTCTCGATCCTCCAGGATTTATTTCTCCGAGGGCTGCCGTTTCACATTCAAATGGAATAGTGATATCCCACTGGTCTGAAGTTAGTATAGACATTACGATAACACTCAGCGTAGGCTTCGGAGTCAAAATGAACCGGAAGTTACTCCGGTCCCGGCCGTCAACCATATCAGATATACCTTCACCGGGAAAGGCTGCTTGCGTATGCAGGACTTTCAATGGCAAAGGTACCGGCCTATGGCAGCGGAGTCCGGACATCTTCAAGACTCCATCTTACTCCGGACCTCGGCCGCCTAGATACCTACCCGTCTGCCACCAATCGGAACGAAAATCAACTGCACAAGACTTAGATGAGACATGATAGATCTTCTTTTGTAAAGGATAAGAGGTCCTTGCCGATCGGCGGAGAATTACTTGGCTACGGTGCCAAGATCTTGGTTTGACAGGAAATACGAGCAAACCGACGAGTCCCTGATTCAGGGATTGTTTCGTTGGAATCGTCTGGTTAAATGATGTCACGTTACTCCAAAAGCAAGCCCAATTTTGCCGTGGGAGAAGCCATACCTGAAAGCGGTTTCACGACGTAGATACGGCACAAGGGAAGCAATCAGTAGTAACTGGTTTGACGCGCTTGATCACGCTATGTAAGCTGTGCAACCGCCCAAGAATAAAAACAAGATAAGGGGACTTTGTAATCAGGTCCCAGCGACAGATAATGGGCCTCAATTGAGAAGAGGGTGTATTCACCAGGTCAGATTGGGAGTGATGTAGCTGGGCTTCGGGGTGAGATGGGAAATAAAGATCTTAGAGAGACATTAGAGGCGGCCCTGATCGAAGATAATAGCATTACGTGCTCGTCGGCCGGTGTTTGCTGACATCAGAGGCTTTTTGTGCAAACCCCCAAATGTCGTCCAACCACAATCATCGCTGGAATCTTCTGTCGCTGAGATCTTAAAAGTTTTTCCCCCGTTTTGCTGCGGCTCACTCAGCCTTGCCTTATCACGTAACACGCATGATGCGGAGACGCGTGCCGATCCCAACGCCGTCAGCAATGACATTTCCTCCCTTGTCAACCAACACGACATAATCTGATTGCCTGTTTTAGTCATGCAGTTTTCTATTCTAGCTGCTATCGTCGCAGCGACGATCGGAAAATACTCCGATGCCGTGCGCTCTGAGATACCCGCTTCACGATCGTTCTTCTACGTCGGTGGACGGTATGACGATGACAGTGACGGCGGCCATGTTTTTCGGGACCAGATGTATGTTGAGAAGCTCACCCCGGTAAAGGGAGCTTGGAAAGACACGCCTATCGTTATGATTCACGGTATGGCGCAGACAGGCACGGTAAGCTAATCCCCGTGCAATTTCGGAAGCCGTCCGTGTGTACTGAGAACTTTTTGCCACGTTTAGAATTTCCTGAACAAGCCTGACGGTGGAGTTGGTTGGGCCTCGAGGTTTATTGAGCAGGGTTATGAGGTGTACATTGTTGATCAGACGTTTCGGGGGAGATCTGCTTGGATGCCTGGACAAGGCGCAGCTAAGCTCAACACTCTTTCGGCCGAGGCTGTTGAGGTTGCGTTTACTGATTCGAAGACCCATATGCTCTGGCCTCAGGCTATCAACCATACCCAATGGCCTGGCTCTGGGGTTCGGGGGGATCCAGTGTTTGACGCATTTTACAGCTCGAATGTGGAGTTTGTCGATAATACGACCTATCAACAGACTTCTGTTCAGGCAGCTGGTGCAGCCTTACTGGATAAGATTGGGAAACCGGCTGTTCTTCTGGGACATAGTCAGGGAAGCTTTATGCCCACATTGATCGCTGACATAAGGCCGGAGCTTACGAAGAGTATTGTTCTGTTGGAAGCTGCTGGACCGCCTTTCAAAGATGAGATTTTCAAGTTTGGTGGAGAGTTTCCTCGGCCATGGGGTCTGTGGGATGTTCCTATCACGTATGATCCTCCTGTTATGGATCCAAAAAAGGAACTTGTTCAAAAGGTTCATGCCCAGAAGGATAATTTGTCCACGGAGTGTATACTCCAGGCTGACGAACCTACGCCCCGCAAGTTGGTTAACTTGATGGACATCCCTATTCTTATTGTCACCGGGGAGGCATCGTATCATATGCCTTATGAGCATTGCACAGCTGCGTATTATAGACAGGCGGGATGTTCGAAGACGAACCATATTGAGTTGGGAACTATTGGTATTCGCGGGAATGGGCACATGCTTTTCATGGAGAAGAACAGTGATGAGATACATACTGTTGTTGAGAAGTGGATACGTAAAGGTTAGGTTTATAATATCATCACGAGTTTTCGAGACTGACAAGTCACAATAATTGCATCAAGTCTGTGTGAACCTTGTGATCTGTTCATTGATTTCAGTTGTGATCTAGCTTTTCCAAATTCACGATATCCAGCCAACACCAACATAAAGTTACGATACCCGAGCCCTGCCCTTATCCTCAGCATCACGCGGATTCTAAAACCCTATCCACGACTGACTTCCAACGCGTCCAAGTCAAAGTCTCTGTTATCTTTTTCATTGGGCGAAAATCTTTCCAGCCATGCTTCGCGTCCAGTTTCTCTCCCCTTT